AATCTCAGGTAATGATTTACATTTTCTACAAGATAATTATTGAAAAAAAAAAACAAAAAACTTGTATATTGTAAACCTGTTTCGGACAAGATTTCGTTGTCTTTGCAGTGCTGTTATCCTTTGCCCCCTTAGTCGGCTCTTACGACACCCACGGGATGAATACGGGTGGTGACACTCTGTATTCTTAATCCATCACCACACGGACATCCGTCACCACAAGGACGATTGATTTAACTTAAATAAATTTGTAGGAGGATTGTACTTTTGCCGTAGAGGTTGAACTATTCACAAAATGACTACGAGTATGATCGGTGCAATTCCGTCGAATAAACAAAAAGACATTATTGTAGGGATATTTTACAGCGATTAGGTCCCAAATCATACACGTAACGTAGGTAGCCTAACACTTTGATACATAAGTTATGTACCGCTGTAATCTGTTACAATTTTCGTATCTTTTCTTGATTTAAATCAAGAAAAGATACCAAAAAAATTAAATTTTAAAAATTACCAATAAAATTGACCTCAACTAATAAATTCTGTTCGATTTGTTAGCCATCACATACCGTACTTCTTTTATTCAAAATACTAAGATGATACAATATGTATTAAAGTACGTTTGAAAACTTTTTTTTAAACGATAACGACAACTTCACATATATTTATGAAACGGACACAAAGCACACCCAGACTCAGAACAACAATTTATGGATCACACGAAGTATTGTCCCAAATGGACCCACAACACTCAGCGCAGTAGAAAGCGGCGAGGTAACCGCTTTAACCACTACGCCAAAATTTTGGGAAAATAGTTCGGTTATAATAATTTTAGTCTAATATTTCCCCAAATTTTTATCAACGTTTTTTTTTTTCCTTATACACACATAGGTTCCCATTATTACTATTAGTACAGTATAAAATAAGGTTGTCACGTATCAATTGAGTTACTATAGGGTGAACTCATACAGTCCAATATTTGGAGACAAGTCTTTGCTAATAGAAATCATTGATTTGGTTGTAAGCAGGTAAAGTTGACCATTGAATGACGTAACCATAATTTCTGGATAAATTATTGATATCTTTACCGCTGTTACGAAATTGTTGTTAGAAATCACTTTCTTTAAGTTGTAGTATTATTTCTTAAAGAAATGGGATAATTGTTTTTTTACCAAAAAGAAACCCAATCTAGCGGAAACGATAGGTAGGTACGTGAAGATTTATTCAAGTTTTAGAATATTGGGCACACTTACCGACCCTCTTACACGACGATGGCTATGATGTAAAACAAAGCTTTCTTTTTAACTATTTTTTTTCAGGCTATATCTTGTCGTTAATAAGAGTTGTAAGAGATAGCACCAGTACACAAATTTCTAATTATATAATTTACATTGATGTCTCTTTTTATTTTAATCTATTGGAGGGAATTTAGAATGTTGAATTTTTCCTCTCGGTGATACTACTTGCTGCATGTTGCCAGTCTTAAATTTAGAATAAGGTTGAAGCCAATAACTGTGCTTTCTTTGTTATTGTCTTAGCATAATATGTGGAGGCTTGTTATAAGCAACCTTTTTATTGATATTTTTACTTAAGCAAAGTTTGTTATTAGTCTGTAAAAAAGTCTTAAAATGAAATAAATAAATAAAGTTTTTTTTCTAAAACTGTAAGTAGTACAGGACAAAGAACTAGCGGCCTCCACCCATCGGTTGATATGTTAAAAAGTATTTTCTAACAAATGTAACGTAGAAAAGTAGTATTAAGTAATTTTAAGCAACCTAATAGGAATGTATATTTTTAATTTATCATTACCTTAAAGTCTTTAGAGGTACATACGTACTATACAAATTAAAAATCTGCTTTTGAATTTTGTATTATTAGTTGGTTATTTGCTTACTATAGATAACATACCAATCCAAAGTACCTACGAATCCTACCGAATGTGAAAACATTCATTTTCTTACCTTTATGTATTCAAAGCTATTATTCAATGCGATTTTTGTAAATATTGTATGAAGAGCATGATACTTAAGTTCACCAATACATGGCACACATTTCAACTTGAATTAAATTAATTATGTACCCACAAGAAAATTGTAACTTTAATGATAATGTACTTCTGCAATTCTTTCTTGTATGTCTGTATTTAGAAATATATATACATATGTATGAATGGTTTAATTTGAGGTATACCTCCATACGTACCTATCTAATTTGCTGTGAGGGTGCCTAAGTGGGCACTTAAATTAGTATTAAAAGTCCAGATAAAATATATTGATAAAGAAATTACCTACTATAAGAATTTTGTAAAAATATTTTCATTGCCAACATTCGCTATACTGTTTTCATTTGCTTCCAGTTCACTTCTATCGAAATGTCTGTACCCTACGCTTGAACCCTAAACTTTGCCGGGTGGGTCGTTGTCTGAGAGTAGTTACTAACAAAATAAATGTTTCATACATTTCAATTTTAGTAACTTATTGTAAACGGTAACATTATATTTCAATTTAGTTTTAATCAATCTGTTTTACATTTAAGTTTGGCAATCATCAAGAGTCAATCTATACTACTTATAAAAAGAAAACCTATGTCGTACTTTGATTTACTGATGAAATTGTAAGTATACCTATAAAAAAACCATAGAATCCCTATTTACTGAAAAAAAAAACAAGACATAGAAGACACAAGAGGCAGAGGTTAGTACAGGATCCTAAATAATATTCTTACCTATATAAAATGATTGCTTTTATTATCGATGTTAAAATATTTTATAAAGAGATTTCATATATGTAAATTTATTTTTATTTTATTTATTTATTTCATTATATTTTATTTCATTTATATACATATGATAAAAAAAAATACATATTTATAATATAAAATTGTAAACTACCGACATCGGGTTAGTACAACAGGGGCAAAGACACCGGTGGTTAAGGCTCCAATGTGAAGTGAAGAAGTGCCTTTTGCATTAGAAGACCCTTAATCCAGCCGTCTAACGTGACCTTCTTATTATTCAAATTATAAATTTAGAGTACCTAGCATCTAAAAAAGAAGCACTGTTGACGATTGGATAAGTAAGTTGACAAACTCTACATCAACCACCGCGAGCAAAAGCTGATATTAATAAGTACGATAGTAACAAGTAAGGCCATCTAGCGAACTAAGAGTAAGATTAATACTTTATTGTGACACCTCAAACTGTAACCTCGACTACGACGAGTTGTAGCGGCCGCACAGACTGACGAGACTAAATGACACGATAGCCCTCTGTAATAGATGTTATTGACACGATAGATGGCCCTAAATACTTCGGATAGTTCGGAATAAACATTGCCCGGTCATGGACTAACACTGCTATATCTACTTATAATATAGAAGATTTGTTTCCTTAGGAATTCGAAAAGGATACTTTAAGAGTTTTTTTTTTATAACAAACAATTTCCGCACTAGAAATATATCATATGTCGCGGGGGAATTTACAACAATGCATTCTGAAATACTTGATTGTACTGGTTTCCCGAGATGCCCCAAATCCCTTCGGATCTCCTTCTCCTCGGGGACTTAGGAGTAGCCGGTGATTCCCCTAAAAACCACCTCGTCGGCCGCCTGCAGATGCGTAGGGCATTGGGAGAACCCGGACCATGTTATTTCAGGTCCTCCCCGAATTGACACCATGCCTAAGGGGATCCATCCCTTATCCCAGAGGTAAACACTTCCTAACCCCCTCAATCGCGACAAGGCAGCCCAATTGCGTCTTATTGCAATCAGGCCGCCTTCCTATCCTCTACTGCAGCAATCAATCTGCCACCAGAGCTGATATTTGTACCTAAGACATTCCATCGATAAAACAACCTACTTGGTGGCAACAACCAAACCCAAACTGGTAATAAAGTTAAAGTCATAAAAGATGATTCTCAATTTTGAAATAACCGTAGAAAAACTACTATTTTATTTTATATTTTATTTAGATTTGAGTTACTTCAGTTTACTTTAAAAAATTGTTGTTACTATTGCATTCATGACGTACTACTTAGCTGTTTTCAGGTAATTTAACTTATCTTTTTCCTTTTTCTTAATTAGTAATGAATGTTAACATTATTATTAATATATTGATGCCTATTTAAGTTTCCTAGCAATAATGATACCAGAAGGATGATACTCGTAATAAAAATTCTGGTACTTTTATTTTTTTGAATGAATGGCTATATTTTTTATTAAGTTTCATTAGAACTATAAAATATTCTTTTTTGGCTCAAGTTTTTTTTGTGACAGTTGTGTCACTGTGTGTATGTGTGTGTGTGTGTGTGCCTGTGTGAATTATATTATGCGGTATTTCAGTCCGATTTGATCAGTCAGATATTCCATTTCTTTTATTGCTACAAAAACGTAAATAATATTTAAGTTTTTCGTTCAAAACTTCCAATCGATTATTTTCTAAAACTCATCACGCATCAAAGTTAAAACATTTAATACTATAAAATGACAAACAAAAAGATAAGATAATACAAAACAAAGTGGTAAACACAGAATAAGTAATACTTAACAACTAATTATTAAATAGAAAGAAAAAGTGATATTTTGTAAAGTGGCGTAAAAGTTATCCATATGCACTTTTCTCCTGATAGTAACCTATTTCATTTTCTTTGTGTATTATTAGCAACTTGTCTATTAATAAACATAAAATATTTAATAGAAAACAAAAATAAATAATCGCATTCCCGTTTTCCTTTCCCTGGGCCTGAATTTAAAACTCTATAAATCTATGAAATTTGTCTATGGTTTTAGTTTTTGGCCAAAATCTGGCATTCTTATTGGCTGTTATTGGTGGTAAAACAGTGTCCTAAAAAGTTAACAATGGCGCGGGTTTTGTCACATCCTGTTATGTGTTGGGAGAGTGCATGGCCTCGACGTTGATCCCGTTCTAAGATATTTTTTTGTTACGCCGCTGCTGTGTAAATAATATTGACGGCGTTAAAATTCGTGATGGTGTTCCTAAAAAGGCCATGGATTTGATGAAAACGGTAAGTTACATTATTGCAGTTTATTTACGTGAACATTTGTTTGGCTTTTGTTTCTTGTTTTGGTGATATTGAAACTGGCCATTACATAGAAAAAATATCTCTTTCCAGAAATTGTTTGCACGTGGGAGGTAAGTCCCTATAGTTACTGATAAATATATAGTGTCCAGTTTCGGATTTACGAAATAAGAATCACCAATAAATTGATTTGTCAATACTATGATGGTACCCGGCAACTGAGCGTTGTTACGCCATCTTATAGTCCTCCAAATGTTCCGCATATTTTGCAGCTTTACGTTAGTGCAAGAAAGAATTAGACGCTGAAAATCATGCTTTAGTTGAAAGAAAGTCCAATGGAAGTTTCTTCGATATAAATTGGTTCAGTTATAGGTATGTCATTTTCACTATTGCATTTCATGGTAGAACCACATGTTCTATTGATTTGTTATTGTTTAGTCGGCATAAAGGTTACATTATGTTGTATTGATTGCACGGTATTGATACTGTTGCTTTTATGTACGTATTTTAACCTATATGAGCCTTGTATATGTATCAATTCACTCGTAGTTGTAAAGTTCCGAATCAGATAACCTATAAATTTGACAAGCCGTAAGTCCAACGTTCAAACAACTTGTCATTTCTGTACGTATAATTTGCAGAAACAGACATTCAAGGTTATTTTTTCATGATAAAATAGTTAATTGAACGAAACTAACGCCATGGGCTTGTATTGAAATGTTTTATTTTACTTAAACTAGACTCGGTTAATACTTATACTTACATATTGCATCAGTATTCAGGTATTTGTATTTCCGTTCAACTGCGAATATAATTTTAGCAAGCAATTATATTTCTATTATAGTATTTAAGTAACTTCCTCTTCTTTAATCTTGAAATATTTTGCATACTATCTGTTGATAGTTATATAACCTCTAAACATTTTTAGGCAGTTCTTATCAATACATCAATACTTTGGTTCTTGTTAAACAAGTTTTAAAAAGCGCTGTGAAAATATGTTGCTTATGTATATTAATGACAAGTTGAAAAACTATGTACTGTAAAATTCTTAACTTTATTGTGGGTCCATTTTTTAATTTTATCTCATCCAATGTTTACCAGAATTAACTCAAATAAAGTTAAGTAATGACTGAAATAAGCAATATGCATTTAAAACTGAAGTAAATGTTTAGTTATATCATCTTATCAACTATTTGTTATATTGCTTTAACATATAAGGATTTTAAGTTTTTTAGATGAAGTATGGCTCAAAAATATGAAAATCTCAATTGGTTTTACTATAATCTAGGGGCTGGTTTTTATTACGAACAGAAAAATAATATGCTTATTTGCAATATGGACTGGTTCATAATACGTTATAAAAATAGTGAGGGTTCACAGAATTGATGATAAATCACATTTGTGTTTTTTGTGGAAAAATGTAAAAAAATGGTCAAGTTCATGGTTTTCTAATTTAGAGTTAAAATAAATCTATCAATTTATTGGTGTTAATATCACTGTTTAGAAACCTAAATTCTGCATTTGTGACCTGTTAAGTTATTGACCAAACTAAACGGATACATCGGTATTTGATGAAGCGCTGGTAGGAATATGAGAGCTTGATAAAATGCAGTTGAAAATGCTTCAGTGTTTCTAAAGCCAGATTAAGTGGTTTCCAACAACAATTTTATTTAAAAACACATCATACTTTAATTTACTAAAAGCATAATTGCTATTTAGGTCAAAGGTTTTTAACAGAATCAAGAGTCAACAATGAAAAAATGTTATGGACTTCTTGGTATCTGTTCCGATCGCCATCGTTGTTTCATGTAATCATCGGTTTATGTTCAGATCTGGGTATATCGCAGACGGATTTAGAGAGGATTTATCAGTTTTCGACCAATTACATTAACCATAGAGCAAGATGTGTATGAGAACAACAAATTGGCATCATAAAAAAAAATACAAAATGTGATTTATCGGTTGTTGATCTAACGCTCCTCAAATATGCAATAATAAACATCATACCAAATTATATTTAAAAAAAAATCTAGTCTAATCAATGTTTCAAAGGTACAAAACTACTTACTATCACAATTTTAAGAAATTATTTTCAGAAATTATTATCATTTCATTAGAAATCTGTTGTTTTTCAACCAACCAATCTAACATTAGACATTTTGTTGTGGGTATTTTAATTTTTTTCACATCACATTTTAAATTATTATCTCTATGTTGTACACTCTCTATTCTTTTATTTTCTTATTGACAGTTTAAGTAATTTAAAAAAAAGATTAGGAAAAGGTTAATCTACTTTAATAAAAACAACAAGTTAATTTGCCTAAAAATTGTATAATAAAATACATTAGCCATTTTTATCATATTTAACATTTAACAGAAATTGATTAAATTGTGTAACTGAAGACTTGGTGACAAGTCCAGTGTGTATTATTTTTCACTTGTATGCTACTTTACAGTATGTATTTTACTTTTTTTCATAGTTGTAATATAACAAAACCTTAATATTTTACTGCGGAAAACGATTATTTGTTTACAAGAAAAATACATTTACAGAAAGGGGTTTTGCCCAACGTAATTTACGTCACCGTGGCATTTTTTCTGTTATTTATTTTGTTTATCATTTATTTATTTTTTTACGTTATAATGAATGTAGCCCTCCAATATATAATTATAACTACAGTAAAATGGTTATGACCAAAACTCATCTCAAACACTTAATTGATTATTCGAATAATTTCTTCCTATCCTTTAATTTTTATATTGATGTTAGACGACGAAACTGTCACCAAGCCGCTAAGTGTACCCTGTTGTGACTGCTGACGAGGATGATATTGAATATAAACAAAATATATTTGGAAATAAAGTGAGAAACGAAATTAACTGCAAATATTAGTTCCCACGTATTCGGCTGATATGATGAGCGCGGAATAAAAAAAAACACAGAAATTCGGTTGCGCAAATTTAAGTGTCTGGAAGGCTATCGTGGTGACTATATCGTCGTATAGTGTGTGTGCGCTAGAGTGACAGATGGCCTCACCTGTCACCCTCCGGCACTGCGATTATGTAGGACGGAGGTCGTCCTACCACCGAAATTTGCGACGAAAATTGGGTGCACCCAACACGCATGCTCCTAACACTTAGTTGCCGATATTTTCTTCTACGTCTCGCGGTGTAAATCCTCTTCATCTAAATCCATTGACGCATCACTAGTTCTAATGACTGACACCCTTCATGAGCGCACTCCACTTTGATGACGTGACATGACAGTGATAGAGAGACAGAGATTTTTGTCACGATGATAAACGTCAACCGTATGCGCAAGCCCTAAGTCGCGCGCCTTATCTAGAAATAGTTAAATTAAAATACATAAATTAATCAATTAAAATAGGTGTTCTTTAAATTATTCTCAATGCGCATAATAATTATTTTACAAGCGGCACAATTACGTTCTCAAGCAACTGTCAAAAGAAAAAAATGCATGGACAGAGTAGAGTATACCTGCATAGGTTTATACATAAATATTTTTATGTATTACAGTGTGAAACAAATACAAAGGAATATAACAAGTGCTTAAATAGATCAAAAATTGTATGGAATGTGAAACTCACTAAGCAGATATATTGTACAATTTATTTCACTATCCATGATACATGTAAGACGTTTTTCATAATAGATTTCGATTGGAAGGAGTGGGTGTGTATAGATTTTATGTTAAATGTACTTAATGTGTTTCAGGACTATGAGTTCCTAGACTTATCTGATGTAAAAGAAGCAGAATTGAACAAACTACAGTGCGCACTATACGAGCGGATACCTGACAACTCGGCGAGTAGTCTCGCCGGCGGTTGGAGAGAACCTGCTATAGGTAAACTTAACAAATTAAATTTATGTATTATAATTAATATATTTTTTATTTTAGACAACTATATATATATAACTAATTGCAATAATTAGCACACAGCATTAATAACTAACTGTACCATGTATTGTACTGTCCCATGACCCTCAAAAGGAAAAGTTATTATATAAAACCTTATACAGGGTATTAGGGAAACGCTTCCATAAACGAAGACAGACGACAGTACTAATGATACCTTTCATCATGGGTCAGAAAATAATCGATCCCGACCAAAAAAAAGTCATCTTTTTACGACGTCTTATTAGTATTATTCATCGTGTTAGGAAAGCTGAAATGAAACTAATTTCATAAGAAACATATCGCTTTCCTAAAAAATTACGGCGCAACAAATTAAAATCACATCGGCCGTATTCGATTTACGCTCGGGCAAGATACTATCGTGTCTTCGTTTTCTGGAGCGTTCACCTAATGCTATGTGTATAGTATTGCCTTGTTGTCCGTCCCGCTGTCAGGACCCTTCTTCTCGTAAACGCGTGATGGTATCAACTTGAAATGAACTTTGAATAACTATGAGGAACATCCCTTCACATAGAAATAAAATAGTTTCTAAATCCATTATATTTTAATAAATTATTGGTTCTGATAATACGCAAAGCTATACGTTTATCCCATCTCATGTTATAAATTAAATTTATAAAATTAAGAACTGTAAATATATATTATGAGATTACGAACTAAAATTTTGAACTTAATAGTGTTTGATTTAGTGATGGTGTATGTAACTATTTTGAGAACAATCAAGTTTGCTTGTAAGTAAACTCTGAAAGGAAAACGTATTTCGGTTGATTTCGATATGAAAAGAAAACTGATTTCGAAGACGAAAATTGATTTCGTTGATTCAGATCATAAGGTTTTCCTATTTACATACAAGCATGCTCGATACCTTCGATGCAAGAGTCAAACTCACAGCTGTTAGGATTTTTTTTATTGTTGACTAAATAGTAAATTAGCCAATTATTACTAGTAATTTTGACAATGCAATTAGATCCATCATCGTGTTCATCGAGCTCGGTGGGACCACCGACCGTGTCGAGCAGCGTGGACAGCCTATCGGGCGGCGAGTGCGAGATGGCGCCCCACTCGCCAGCGCGCGGCGCTACAGGCCCGCCGCACGCGCCCCATGCGCCGCCTCCGCCCTACGCGCAGCCGCCGCCTGCCTACCCGCCTCCGCACCACAACCACCACTGGCCTGTGGCACCACCTAACGTGTACGTGAGCCAAGTGACGGCCAACGTCAACGTGCACGGCTACATGGGCCAGTACTACCAACCGCCGCAGCCACAGTACGCGCCCCAGGCACCCGCTGAACGTGCAGCACGCGCACCTCGGCGTGAGCGCCGCGGTAAGCGCGCACCTTCTCCTCCGCCTCAGCCTCCGCCCTACTATCTGCAATATCCGCAATACTACCCGGCCGCACAAGCTCAGGGCGCACCGCTCTATCACCTGCCGGTGTATCAGCCGGTCGTCTACGGACCTTACGCCTATCCTCCTTACTATCCTGACTATCCGATGCCCGTGGAGGGTGACCCTGACAAAGGTCCAGATGAGTATCAGCAGGAAGTAGTCATGGAGCAGGAGGCTGTGGACGCGTATTATGCAACCGCACATTATGCGCCACCTTACGGCCCGCCCGTTGATAGTGGTGTTGAGTACATGCCGCCCATGTATCTACCGCCTCCCCCGCATCCACCACCTGTACCCATACCGCAGCAGCAGCAGCCGCCTCAGACGACTCCGCACCAGTTTAATGTACATGCCAAAAACTTCGTTCAGGGTCAGAATCAAAATAAGACCTACACTCCACCTGAAAAGCCTCAAGAACAGAAAACTTCACAGCCCCCGGCTACAGCTTCGGTTTCAGCGTCTGCGAGCACCGTAGAGTCGCTTCCTATTAAAGATCTGAAAATTACCAAAGACCCGAATAGTCCGAAGCAGGTTGATCGAATTGCCGACACCCCTCTACCGAAGACACCGTCTCCGAGCGAAACGGCTCCCGTCGTTACGGCCAAGATTGATACCCCTAAAACGACATGGATAGCGACTGAGACCAAGGTCGAAACGACTATAACCAGTCAATCCCCTGTGTCAAAGACCTTCCCTGCAGCAAGCCCCGCTGTCAACCAGGTGCCTGCCAATAAGATTCCGCCTCCGACAGGAAAAACTGCTAAGGGTCCCACCGCCCCATTCTCCGGAAAGCAGCCAACAAAGCCAGTGGTGCCTCAGACAGTTGTTCCTGTACAACAAGCTGCATCTACTCCTAAGGCTCCATTCAGCAGTAGGCAAAAACGAGACGGCCCAACTAATCGCTCTCCTTCCAATGATAACAGTGAGACGATCGAGAGAAGTGCTCCTACAGTCGAACATATCAAACGGGAGCCGCCCCTGCCTCCGAGCAAGGCCCCCATGCCGATCTCGATTACATTACACTCAACCGGGACACCACTCATCGTAACCAATAAGGCTCCATTTGGTCACTCACGCAAAGGTCCGTCTGTTCCCGAGCCACCACCAGTGCCTCAACCTCCTCCACCAGCTCCCACGGCGTCAGACTTCCCACCGCCGCCTACACCGCGCAACCGCGGCGAGCCCGCACCTGCGCCAGTGCTACCGCCTCAACCTCAACCCGCCCCCGGCAAGTCTTGGGCTAGTCTGTTCTCCAACAAAGCAAGTGGACCCGCGGCTTCGGTGGCACCCGCTCCTGCACCGCTTCCTGTACCTGCTGTTGTTGCACCCGAAGAGCCCGCTAGTCCGACGGCGGCGAATGCGCCGACCGTACCAAATGTGCAAAAACCAGTCGCTAAGGTTCCGCCTTATGATGCGTCGCCACTCCAAACGACAACAGTAGATAAGAGCTCCCCTAGTCCACGGTCTTCTACGACAACAGCGCCACTTCCACTGTCGTACTCTGAGAAAACTTCAGTAAATGCTACAGCAGGAGGCGCTCGCGCCGTACCGCCTGTATCAGAAGCACGTGAAGTGTCTGTGAATAAGGAACCGACTCCGGCTGTGCCTGTCCAGCCTTCGCCCTTTAGTGATGATCCCAACTCGTACAGAATGGGAGGTAAGATTCTTCGAATAATTCTCCTTTTGTAACTGTTACAATTTAAATATTTTCTTAAACTACAAATATATTATTTTTCACATAGCATGGGTTTGAAGACACTAAGTTTTAGACAGTTTATATTTCACTTAAAAAAAGTATAAAAATGTAAATACTCGTATTCATAGATACATAAAAGTGGTTTTAATTTGCCATTTCAAAGCTACTTTATTTTTTTATTCTCATAAAAAAAAGTCTTTTTCATGAATGCGTAAACTAGGTTCAAAGAAACTACAAGAAGAAAGTCACCCAGCATATTAAATATCAGCACGAGTATTAAAAAACTAATAAATATTTTTTCATATCATGCCCGGAATCGTTTTTTCTGAAATACAAATAAGTCATGTCATTTAATCTACCTTTTTCTGTTTGATTTTATCATCTCTTGTAACTTCAAACACCAAACATCACAAAACACATGCCATGTGAAAAATAGTACGAGCCCCAATGCAAAATAGTTCGTCTAGTATGGAAAGCAGTGCAAAGCGTAAAATATAGAAAGTAAATATTGGTAAAATAATTAAGAACGTTTAATAAAAAGTAAACCACAATTTGAGGAACATTTTAAAGTTAATTTTAACATAACTGAAATTCTTTCATGACTTTACATCTCATAAAAAAATTAAACAATATTCTAAAAAACATAACGCTAAGTATTCGTCTACCCTTGTCACTCACTCAAAATAGTTCGTCTACCACTTAGTTGTGTCGCCTTTGCTCTCAATGACAGCTTTAATGCGAAGAGGCATGGTTGCAACCAACGCTGCACACTCGTCAAGCGTAATTGACTCCCAGACTGCCAAGAGTTTAGCCTTAAGTCCCTCTTCGATCTTGATGGATTTTTACGGAGAACTTTTTTCATTTTCCACCATAGAGTTTCGATTGGCGACAAGTCCGGGCTGTTAGATGGCCATACGATTGTAGGGATGCCTTTCGCAAGTAGTTCGTTGTCCTTGCAGTATGGCAGGAAGCACCGTCCTGTTGAAAAATGAAGGAATCTTGATGCTTAAGTGACGAAATAGAGGGCAGTAAATTCTCTTCCAAAAGGTTTTGATACCTTGCAGCATTGATAGAACCATCCACAAACTGCATACCACCAACACCTTGTGCAGACATGCAGCCCCATATCATAAGAGACGCCGGAAACTTCACTTTGCGTTTGAGACAATCAGTATGAAATGCCTTATTTTTGTTACGAGTCACTTTTTTCCTTTCATCGTCGACTGTCACTTCAAATTTGGACTCGTCACTCCAAATGATACTACGCCACTGATCGGAAGTCCAATTTAAATGATCACGAGCAAACTTCAACCTCTATTTCCTTTGTACAGCAGTCAATAGTGGTTTCTCCTTAGCGGTGTAAAATCCGTAACCCATTCCTTTTTAGGACTCTTTTGCAAGTATCAACTGAGACGTCTTTGTGAATCATGTTCTTTGCACCGTGAGTTCTCCAGCTCGAGCACGACGATTATTTTTAACTTATAACTTTCTTTAGGATTCTGTTTTCTACTGCACTTGTGATGCGTGGTCGACCAGTTTTCTTCAAACAAGAAGTCATTCTATTCTTTTTATAGTGCTGAATGATAGATTGGACTGTAAACCTGGGAAGTATCAAGTTTTTAGATATTTTGTAACTTGATTTGCCAGCATCGACCCCCACAAACTATTCGCTTTCGAAGCTCTTCAAATAAAAATGGGTTGTGGCAAACCCACACGGGTTTGCCACGACCCATTGTTATTTGAAAACTAATGAAAAAGAATGAAATTTTCAGAATTTATACTGTCTCACTTGACAAATGACACAGAATTACTTTTACAAATTTAAATTATGCAATATAATTGTACAAAGAAGGAATAATCTTATTGAACTCACCGATAGACGAACTCTTTTGCATCAATTAACAATTAGACAAACTATTTTGCTTATAACTTCTTCGAATTTAAAACAGGATATGTATAAATTTAAAAAGCTAAAATAGTATTGGTTCATAATTAAAAAATGGCATAAGTAACGCAACATATGATAGTAGAACAGCTTAATATTTTATGTAGATATACAAAAATAATGAAGTTAGAAAAAATCTCACAGAGAAAATTTCACACTAGACGAACTATTTTGCATCAGGGCTCATATACCTAAATGGTTTCGACACTTACAAAATCAGTAATGTCCGTCCGGTAATAAGCCACCACTGGCACTCATTGTTTGATCATCTCAATGTGTTCTTAGTCTAGTATAATTTGATAATGTTGAGAGTCACTGGTTTGAGCTCTGGGCTAAATTTGCAAGACATGCTATTGCAAATTTCTTCTTCACAATCCTATATGATGTTTTACACTGACCTAATTAAAACTTACACAACTCTGGTATAATATTTATTATTTAATACGTCACTATATTTGCAGAGTTTCTGGTCAAGTACCAGCTTGACAACCGCCCAGTGTCTCTGCTGCCGAGGGGTCTCACTAATCGCTCCAACTTTTGCTACGTGAACGCTATACTTCAGGCTCTAATAGCTTGTCCGCCATTCTACAACATGCTGAAGGCGCTTCCATATCAAACGCGTCGCGGGAAGTCCAGCACACCTGTCATCGATTCTCTGTAAGTATAGTTAACAATACGTCTAATAGACAATAAGTCACTAATATTTGGACTTACTAGTTATATATTCTAATTCACAGTAGATAAATTATACTCAACATAAACGCAGTTGTCCTTACACTAAATTTTTAATTTACCCATTCGATTTAAGATGTATCAGATGTATCATTCCTATTGCTGGGAGCCTGTAGAGGTATTGAGTCTTAGAAATATGATACATAGGTAAATGTTAAATAAAATTGTGCTATGTTTGATCAGGGTGGAGCTGTGCTACGAGTTCAGTCCGCTGGCGAGCGCGGGGCGCGGAGGTCGCGGCGCGGGGGCAGCGGGCGGAGCGCCGGCGGTGCCGGCCGGCCCGCCGCTGGAGGGCGGAGCGGGCCAGAGAGTGCTGCGTGCGCTGCGCCCCTTCCCCGGCTCGCAGGAGGGCCGCCAAGAGGACGCCGAAGAGTTCCTCGGCTGTCTACTCAACTCGCTCAACGATGAAATGCTTGAGGTAAGACATGTTTTGTTATAAAGTCTCAATGAGATTACTTTGAATATTTTGTGTGAGTTCGAAAGGTAGCCGTTTACTATTTTCTAATCGTAAGTGCCGGTCTACGTACACAGTAAACTACTTTAATTTTGTTAACTGACACCATCTTCTACCATTGCTACTTGTAGGTATGTTGTACTTAGGTACTTTTTTTACATCTTTTTCGACAGTTATTCTTACAATTAATACCAAGAGAAAAATAATATTAGAGCTCTAAAGACTAAAAGTGAAAATACATTTCAAAAGACAATTAAACAGTATTCAGAAAATACTTTGAAGTTCGTAATTTCATTCTCTCTCAAGTACTGTAAAGCAAGCAGCGAATAAAGAGTTGAGCGATAAATATGATTTCTATCGCATCAATAGATTTCGAACGCTTATCGTCTTTGAACATTATAATAGACTAGCTTTTGCTCGCGGCTCCGCCCGCGTGTATGTCGGTTATCGCGGTGAAAAGTAGAATCAAACTGTTGTATTTAAATTGGATCAGCGGTTTAAGTGTGAAGAGGTAACAGAGGACAGACAGACAGACACAATTGCGGCATTTATACATTAGTATGGATTACGTCGTTAGGTTTAGAAAAAAGGAGCTTTGCGGTAGTCGTACGTAATGTGCAACATCGCCTCGGCTTCCTACTAGTAGTTCGGTGCTTTTTTCCAATATCCCACAGATGCATAACCGAAAGGACAAATGTTACACATTAAAAACATACATTTCTTGGAATGAATAAATCGACAAATACAGGCCGAAGTATTTGTATTACAATGCACGAAGAGACGTTCATGTATGACATCATACTCAATATCGACAGCTAATGAAGCTCGTGGAGGGCCCGGAGCCGGCGGGCCCGGCGCCGGGCGCGTCGGAGTCGGACGACGACGACTCGTGGAAGGTGATGGGCCCGCGCAACCGCGGCGCCGTGGAGCGGCGCTGGGCGGCGCGCCGCACGCCGGTGGCCGACATCTTCCGCGGCCGCACGCGTCTGCGCCTGCACCGCGCGCCGCACCACGACGTCACCGACGCCGTGCAGCCCTTCTTCACGCTGCAGCTCGACATCGAGGTGAGTCTCCATCTCCACCGGTAAATTAAAATTATGAAATCGAATAATCGTAGGCTCATTTTTAACAGTACTAAAATTTGGCACACGACACTGAACGGTTCTAAATACGAACTCCTATTTTGCAACTGTACTACTAATAATACTAATCTTTAGTAAATAAACACAAAAAGTTAAAAACAATTTTTTATTCACTGAGTGTAAATTTTAGTTTTTGAAATCCAAACGGCCTTAAAATATATTTGTTATGGTTTTACATTGTACATGATAAATCACCGAATGAATGATGTTGCCATAAAATATTTTTTATGGATTTTTTTTATTTTATGATTTTTTTCCTTAATGGCCATAAAAGATATTATATTTATGCACATGGCATGAATATCCTTAATAGTCCTTATATTTTACAAAATTTATACCAATATAAAATATCCATTCATAGGTAATAACAACTGCATACAAATTATTACTAACAAATAGAGATGTCGACCTTTTTAAAAACGACGAGTTGGCCCACCGAACATCACTGAATCTGCTCGCATTGCTATTCAATGTGTAATATATTTAATTTTTATGATGACTCTATTTTTCGTCTCTGAATAAATATAATGTGGCAAATGAAAACTGAATTCTTAAAAACCTTTGTAAAGTAAGTTTAGAAATGAACATAAATCATTTAATAAATATTATTAAACTAACAGCGCGCTAACAGCGTAAAAGATGCCCTCGAGCTACTGGCGGGGAAAGACACCCTGGAGGGCGTGTCCGACGCCTGGCAGCAACTGTCTCTGGAACAGTTACCTGTGGTGCTGTTACTGCACCTCAAATGCTTTCAACTTGACGCAGACGGTCACACGGCTAAGATAGTGAAAAACATTGATTTTCCTATCGACCTGAAGATCGATCCAAGTAAGTTAAATAAAAACAAATTTATTCTAGAATGTCCTGTTCAAGTGTAAATGACATTCTTAAGTTGTTCATTGTTACCTTAAAACAAACTTCATTCTGCGTCAGCAATGTCGTAATGTATTTACAACCTAATCAAAAACTAAAAATAACGAGTTAAAAGTATTGCAAAAGCATTTAACACAGTACAGAGATACTCGTACATAGTAACCGTAACAACATTGTAACCGTACAAGGCAATTAGATATATTTTTAACTAGCTTTTAAGCTTCAAAAGTATGTCTGTAGCCTATGATCTTTTTTAAGAATCCAACTACCTCAATACCAAATTTCATCTAAATGGGTTAAGTGGTTATTGATATAGTCGGGAGTCCCGGTACTCCCAACTATCTCTATACCAAATCTCATCTAAATGAAGAAGTGAAGAGGTAACAGACAGACAGACACACTTTCGCATTTATAATTTCAACAGGCTAAAAAACTCAATTACAAATTGAATTGTGTGTCTGTCTTCCAAGTCTTAGTGTTCTTTCTCTGTCTTGCTCTGGAATACGTAGTTTGTTAAATTTTCTGTAGAAAAGTCAAATCAAAAATCATTAATTAAAAAAATGAGTTGAGAAGGTAAATAGCATGAACTGCTATTATAACCCGGCAATCTCGTACGCGACTGTCCCGCGGGGTGACAGACAGTGGCGGGCGCGAGGTAGCGCGTCATTCTAGCACACGGCTACACACGAAGAGAAGCGTTTCCCCCTTCCCCGCTGCACCACCCGCTACCCGCTGACATCTTAAGTACCTCGTCCCCGCCACCGTCTGTCACCCCGCAGGACGGTCGCGCACGACGTTGATGGACTATAGATAACCGGCCGTGGCATGTACCCTCTTGGCCTTAGGGTATGTGGCCTCTTAGTAAAAATTTCAATGATGGTTTTATTTTTCGTCTCTGAAATGACAATAAATGTCGTTTAAATGTGGTAAACTATAACTGAGTCCATGATTCTACTTAAAATATAGTAGATAACCTATAGTTTTCCATGTACTAATATCTTTTCAATAATTCATTTTAGAAATAATGTCGTCTAAATTGAAGTATACGAGTAAGCAGCGCGTTTATAAGCTGTTTGCAGTCGTGTACCATGAAGGCGTCGAGGCTGTAAAGGGACATTATCTCACTGATACTTTCCACGGACAAGTTGGCTGGATCAGGTAACTACTTTATAAATTTTACTATCGCGAGGTAATTATCGTACCGAGATAAATTGAAAAGTAAATATAAAGAAAATAAATATTTTATCTAAAATAATTAATACGGTTAATTTGCCGAGGCTTTTTATTACTATTCCAATCGTTTTTATGATAAAAAAAAGTTAAACTTAATCCTTTCCGACCATGATGTGTTTTATTTTTCGTCTCCAATCGTGAAAAGATCACGACAAAGTGTGGACTAACGTTAACTGAGAATCGATCGGTCGCGGAGACACCTCGTCGGTCGCTCTCGCGTGCTAAAGCGGAGTGTGTTGCAGGTACGACGACTCGACGGTGACGCAGGTGAGCGAGGGCGCGGTGCTGAAGCCCAAGGCGCCGCGCATGCCCTACCTGCTCATGTACCGGCGCCACGACTCGCTGCCGCCGCGAGCCGCGCCAGCGCCCGCCGCGCGCGACTGAGCCCGGCGCGGCTCTAGGCGCTCCTGCAGTACAAAATTGACTTTTCCCTGACCCGCCGCGGCACTATTGGACGGTCCCCTGGCTCGGGTGGCGACCTCGCTATCTGTAAATAGTGTAATAGCCGGGGGGCGACTCGCCCCCTCCTCCCGTCTTATCGTAATCTTTCTCCTCGACTATATGGAATGTGGTATTTATAAATTATAAAAAAATGTAAAAAAATATTATAGGAAACTTAGTGCCGATTCAAAATACATATTATTTCTGTCGAGGACGAATATAATATTCGACCGGTAGATGTATGGACCCGTTGAAATGTAACGCTAGTCGAAAGTATCGGCCCTTTTATAGATACGAAACTTAAAAAATTTCAGTCGCCGATTTTTATAACGAACTCTGAGCGGCGATGGAAAAATATGTACCTTGAATTGAATAGTGATAAGCGATAAATTAAGGGGTCGAGAAGTGAATGCTGGCCGTATTCGGTAACGGTGCTTTGACGGACTGACGATGGCAGTGAGTGATATGTGCCCTTCGATACTTGTGATAATGGAGTGTTTATGGACGATTGCAGCGAATAGTTTAGTTGTACACGCTCTATTGTATAGATATTGTTAAACCGAGTATAAGTGTTAAATATAAATAGATTATATTATTATCTCGCCGTTGGTATGTTGTGAAGAGTGACTGTTTTTAATGTTATTCGAATTCATTGAACTCTATGCTTATTGTTTGAAAATATTCAAAACATAGGATTGCACTCGCGACTCCCTAAAATTTATGGATATAAGGCGCCTATTCCGTCAGGATGTGTGAGTGACAACCTACATGTTACGATCAAACTAGCTGACTGTTGGATATTTCAAATTTACTTATGTATTACTTAGTTGTGTTATCAACATTCAAAATGTGACTCATATTTGACTGGAAGGTAAGTGAGAATAGCATAAGTGCTATAATTTATGTTAATGTCCATTAGTTTAGTATATGAATTGATTTTTGTATGTTAGTAAAAATTGCATTGCTTTAGAGAGGACTAGCTAGTTTGATATTACAAGTTTATGAATAGCTGTGCTATCCATTTATTTCTATTATAAATAAGTGATCCCGATGACCATTGATCTCACTCATGTTGTTGTTGTTTGGAAATATCAGGAGTTTGGAAGTAATTTTTCTCAAAACGATGAAAGGCAACACACCAGGCCTTATTAGGTATTCGGAAGCTAATATTATGAAATTGACCAAAAAGTATGGATATTATTTGAAATTACTGCTATTCTAGCTTTTCTACTTAAAGTTATGACCCTTAAAGAAGCAACACTGCTTGTTGTTCCAACAATTTCTTTAAATACACTTCGATTGTGTCCAAATTATAATGAAGGAGTATTTAATCTTATAATTAGTCAATTTACCTATTAGTATAATGGAATGAAGTAGGTTTAGTTTTGTAAAATAGATTCTAAAACAGAAGTTTATATTAACTTGCTAAGCTTTTTAAATGTGTAACTTGATTGTTAATTTGTTTATTTGGGATTGTGGGTAGGTTAGGCTGGAGATAGTGTATGGATCTGGTGAACAGCTCAGGAAGAATAGTTTATTAATGTAAGTGTTGGACAATAGTGGGTATGTAACTTTTGCTTATGAATCAAGATAACTTCACTGAGATCAGTTTGTCATATCATGTTTATTATTCAATTACCTTCCTACCTAACTATTAACAATTGCTAACGTTTTTCTGGCTTACACCTTTTCAGCCTTTAAATAAGTTTCAGGGAGAACAGGCCCATCAATTGTGAGAAGGTTGTTTGCAATATGAAACAAATAATGCACCTGCCATTTTAAGTGATTAAACCATAATAGTATCGTATGTATTATGGTTTTTAATTATTTATTTCGACTAATTTGCACTAGCTGTAGTCACGGGCTGTGAATAAATAATTATATTATCATGAAACGCAAAAGTTGGAAAATGCTATGGTTTTCACATACGATTGAAAACTAGTAGTAACAACATATAGCATTGATATAATACATAATAATAAATTTGGTATATTTCCAATTTTAGCCACTTGTCTAGAAATCTTTGTTACACTTCATCTATAAATATTGTTCCTATATTTTAGAGATCTGTTGTCTACAATTTGACATAAATGATCAATGTAATATTTTTTTGGGATTATATATTTCTACTACTTCTAGTACACTACTAGGTATAACTACACCTAATAGGAAACAGCGTTTTACTCCTTATTGTATGTCATTTAATCTAATTTTTCAGGTACATCATATTAATCATATTCAAAATATGTCACTAATCCAAAGATTTATCAACAAAAGCCGATCGTTGTGAACCAATATCTTGATTCATAAAGAAACTGATTTGACTTTGAATGAATGTTCCTTAGTAATTACTTGCAGATATCGTAATATTTATAAAATAATATCGATGCAGCTGCTTGCAATGTATATAAACTATATAACATTAAATGTTCCGTAAGAATAAAAACGAATTTATTCATATATTTTAATAGAAAGAGTAATGAGTGTGTAGTCTAGCGTAATTGCTGGTCCAATCCCACATAATTTATTTGCACAAGTTAACATAGTCCTAATTTTTTAAATCAGTTCCTTTCGTAGCGCTATTTATTTGTCGAGTGAGAAATGGTGAACTAGCGTTGCTTGCTTTTTGGTTTTCTGTTGGTATTTGATTGGTCTTGAGCACATTCTAATATTCACTTTTCGGAGGCCACTTTTGTTAGATTGTGTTAATTTAGCTCTTAGTTGATGATAATTTAATGTATATAACTATCGTAAGGTGTTTACGAGTTGAGTCCTCCATTGTATTTGGTGGAAACTTTTGGTGGCGTAAGACTGAGCGCAGGGTCCCCGAATGTCTGTTATTTATGTTTTACTGTGTAAACATGAGCACACATAGTGATTAAGGTTTTATAGTAACAAAGCTGCCTTTTAGTTAAGTGTCTGTGTTGCGTATTTATTATAATAACAAACTTTGATTAAAACTCGCATAATCTTGCTTCTTCATTGAGCACAGGTAAAGCTTTTAATTTACTAATGACTTGTGTCCAAATGTTTGCTTTTACAGAAATTATCTTACATGAACCACAGTAGTTTAGCATAATCTAAATGTCCAATAAAGATAAGGAAATGTAAAAAATTTATGTCACATGGTTCCATTTTGGTGGATTGGACATAAGTTGTAAAAGAGAATCAAGAAATCTTTAATAATTAATTGAGTTGTATTCAATTCGAATAGGTGATCTTGCTATTGTAAGAAACGATGACAAGTTTACTGATCACTTAGTTGGCTGTGACGTAGCTCTCACTACTCCATAGTAACACACTGTCACACTTTTTTTTTATTTGGAATGAACAATTTCTAACCATCACTGATACGGTAAATAGATATATGTACTATACTGGCTTTGTATTATATACATTAATTTAAAACAAAACAATTAGTGATACTCCTCTGTCTATAATTTATAATAACGGATCAAAGTAGTCGAGTTAATCAAACTAATGTGTTAATTTAATTTAAAATAAACAGCAGCTATTAAATTATTTTATGACGAAACACATAGTCACAATATTATATACAGTTTGATGTCGTTCTGCAATTATTCTTAGGAGTACCTTGTTATTATATGTAATACAACATATATATTTGTTTCTCATAAATTTAAGAATCTTTGTGTAGGTTTGAGTCATGAATGCTACATTTGATTGGAATATGAGAGCCCATCATCACCTCAATCTTAAATTAGAACTTAGTTTTATAAAATAATTATCAATGCTAGATGATCTGCTCTCTGCACTTTATAATAGCACAAATAAGCCTGTATAGCCCTAGCCAAATAATGACCAAAACGCCTTTATTGAAAGCTGAATGAGATTAAATCGAAGATAAATCAAATATAAAATATCCAATATCTAGACTTAAACGTTATTTATATTTATATATATATATATATATATATATATATTTAGGATATATGATAGAGTTAACATAATATCATTATTTGTATAGACACATGTCCCCTTATTTTGCATCAATTAACTAATATACAGCTGCTTGTTTTTGTATTTGAAATTCAAATTGTACATCATTAAGCTTCTCATGTTACCGAAATTACCGCCTTTTATACGTCATCGACATTAAATTAGGCTTCAACTAGGCCTAAACTATTGTAGGACACTCCAGTGATTTAATGCGAGAAAAGTTTCTCGCATTAAATCACTGGAGTGTCCTAATTCAGTTTTGTAATTGATGTCACGGCCTTCCACTATCTTAGTTTACTTTCTGCACATGCATTTAGATCCGACCCTAAGGTTTATTCGATGTTGCTGTTGCAAATTCCCTAATTTTCTGCATGAGAAACGAACCATAACGGTTTTTAATTTTCTTGATTTGCAGAGAAAACTTAGAAACACTGTGATGCACTATGGAGACACGAGTTTTTCAAAGGCCGGTTGAGGGTTATTCATCAGTCCATGACTAATCTGTTATTCTCTATATCTGCTAATCTACTTCATTTTATTGAAAATTCTAAACTAGTTTTATACCTTTTTATTGTAATAAACACGTCACTTAATTATCTCTTATTCAGTTTTGAAAGTATTCCTCGTCATAATACATTATAATATTGGTCTTATGCGAACTAGGGGCCAAAGTTTATTCCTGTTGCCTACATAAAATGCACCCACCTCCCTGAAAAAACCTAGCATGATATATGGAATCAGCATAATACTATTTATATATATATATATATATATATATATATTATATCAGTTATGGGTTTATAAACTAGGTAGTTCAATAAAAATATATTCAGTGTGCATTGTGATTCACTTTCCTTTCTTATATTACATAGAATATATTTTAAATAATGACGTTTATGTTCTAGATAGCCAGTTATGCCATAAAAAGGAAGCAAACAACGTCATGGAAAATACAGTTTTAATCAAACCAAAAATACCCTTTTTTTATTGTAGGTTTGTTTTCTACTCATCTAGTCCCAATATGATCATTAGAACTATCTTTTGGTGCAATGAATATATATTGTATTTATGGATATAAAATCTATCGCTGCCGTCGCTAAATTATTTACAAATGCATTATTAGTCAACACAAATTTGCAATAGTCAATAATAAATAAATCGATTATAAAACTAAGTAACATTACAATGAATATATTGGCGGTCTATCTACTTAGATTGTAAACATTTTAATGAAAGATGTATGTATGCCTATCATTATTTTTATATGAGAAGTTCATTATTTAAGTTACAGTTAATTTTAGAAATAAGATCCAAGGCTGTATTAATAGGAGTGTTTTTCCCCAATCAGTGTAAGCTGAGTTAACATTTTTGTTTGATTTATACTGTGTAAAAATACTCCTGTTGGTCATAATAAATAATGTCCCTAAAAAAAGACAAAAAAAATGCCATTTTAACATTGTGCATTCTTTATTACGACCAGCTTTCTAAGTTGTTATGTGGATATGTGTGTATGACTAATTATAAAATAATCCTTTATTTTGGTAACAAATTGGTGTTATGAAAAAATTTTGTGAATAAAATAAGATGTCATTCAGATAAATCTTTTATTTTAACGAAGATCTAAAAAACAGCTGCAACATCCAAAAACATTTTTGAAATGGTAAACTTTCATTTTTCTTGAACTATGTTCTAAAACAAAAAGTAAGTAAAATTAACTGAGTAAACAATAAAAATAACAACAATAAATAAAGTATACTCTGTTTAGAACTATATATACGTACCCTGACTCTGCACTTGAAGATTGCGTAGAATACTAAGACGATTACAATGGGGAATACTTGGAATACAACGACCAACCAGCCTGCCACCACTTCGCTGGATGCCCAAGAACCTGAACTTCCAGCAAAAAGGCTCTAAAATATAAGAGAAGAAAATATATTTGAATTAGACAATATGAAGTCATCCCTATGAGGACATGGTAGGGTTGCATTTCCCGTACACCACACAGCCCTTCATCGTGTATGTTCCAAATAGACCAGCAGGACTAATCGTCCAAAATATAGATGTAAAACAACCGATTTAAAACGTTTTAATCAAAGTGTTGCCGTTTTAAACCCCAAATAAATCGTTTTAAACGGGTGATAACACGCCTACAAAAATAAAAGAACTGTGTTTTACACTTCATTGTGGGCAATTTTTGACGTCATGTTTCGTTCTAATTAGTTTATAGAAAACCAATAGAAAGCTACACGAAAACGATCCGCCCTGGCTTCGCACGGGTGCAATGTAGATACTACTAATCTGGTGTCAGTGTGAAGTAATTAATTATACTATTATTATGATAGGACTATACTACAGGACATCTTTAAATGCAATATTTTTATGCCCGTTCCGATTCTGCCGACCGCTGCCACCCGGGATGGACGTATGGCTTGACAGTCGTTGGGCCCCCGCATTTTGAATCTTCAATATCTTCTAATTCATTATAATGATATGCTGTCAAGAACAATTTTAATGTACATGAAATACACAACGTATGAAACATATTCAATTGGACTTTTTCCAATATTATTTTGTAATATTAAAAAGATAAATAAATATTTTTTATTTTTTTTATTTTATTATTAAAAAGATAAAAGTGGTTACTGTGGGTTATCTTCAGGAGATAGACATATCTATACTAACGCGTACTTTTTTTGTAAATCTTTTTAAGATATAAAATTCCGTAGTAAGATATTTTGGTCTTTCTCGTACAAAAACATGTTTTTCGAAAAATCTTTGAATTCTGATTTCCTCTACTATATTTTGCATGTATTATACATATAAACCTATGTATCATACATATAGTAGGCCAAAACCTCCTTCCTAAGGAGAGGCTTATGTCCAGCAGGTGACTATTAAAGGCTATTGATGTGATGATGTGATACATATTAACCTTCTTAAATCACTCTTTCTATTGGTGAAAACCGCATTAAAAGTCCGTTGCTTAGTTTAAAAGATCTAAGCGTACAACACAAAAAAAAGCGTCTTTATTTTATACTATGTAAAGATATTACACACTAGATTAGAAGACATCATTAACACAATGCCGTCCGTTTTACTTGTGCATGAAAGACACAATGTTATGTCTCCAAGGCCGTCGCGCCGGTGCCGCCGCGTGGGAGTGTGATTTTGGTTTTAAACCGAATCAAATTGATTATTTATATCGTTTGAAAACAATGAAAAAGAATGTTTATTTACCAACACAGAGTTTTTATCTTATCAATAGAGTTTTTATAACTTAGGCAACCTACGCTTGGTCGGACGGACCAACTAGAACTAAATCCGCTAAATATATCAATTTCAGTATATCACATATAAAAAAATAGGTACTACGTCATATCCCTACCTCAGTAAAATCAAGAAAATGTACTTATAATTAAGAAAAACATAGTCATCAACACTTTAAATAAAAAAATCGCTTTTTTTGTTTAAAACGGATTGGTTTAATTGGTTTTAAACCGGCCTTACATCTATAGTCCATAAGTCTTGTTTGCTCTAGGACAGATTCCTATATATCGAGTTTATCGCACCGTAAAATGGGTTGAATCGAAACTTCTATTAATTTTTTAAACCTAATTCGCGTACTTACTAATATGTATTGATTACTTTATCCGAGATCGTTTATTGAATTACATTCTGTACCACTCAAAAAAATAAACTCGTCCTTTCCCACCTATCACTAGAGATACCATTCTAGTTAATTTGGACAAGTTTTATTTACCATTTTCACACACATTTTCTCATTTAGAATGATTAATGTCGCGTCTACCTTATTACACTGATAGGTATTATATATAGGTGGTACTTATGGATAAGTAATATAGCTAATTACCAAAAATTACATGATTTGGCTGAAAAACCTGTTTCGGTCGGACAGTAATCATCTTGCCCTTATCCCAAATTTATTTGGGAGAACGGCAAGAAGATTATTAAATAATTTCATATATTAATAAAACAATGTTTACCATAGACCACATATAAATGTTTTTAACTTTTCCCTTCTTACAGCAGAATGTGATAAATGGCCATATGTTTTCAAAATTACATTTTCTATGTCATATGCTAAGAAGTTCATGCTATATCTCATGCAGTTATGCAATATGTGTCAATTTCCATTCCAAAAACACGAAATTTAATGATGCGAAATGAAGTATTTCTTTACTGTACTGACTTTACTGTGGTTTAGAACTCGTTCTGCGTAGTTTGTTCCACGTCTCATTAAAACTTGTTTGCGTCCTACTCCTGGATCGTCCGTGAGGCTCGTCTCGTCATAATTAATAATTACTTAATGACTTCGTAACAATTCGTGTCAATGAGTTCTTCGTAATATTCTTTGGTGATTTTTGATGATGCCTCAGCTGTAATCTTGATATATTTTCACACGTCCTCTTAATTTTTTTTTACTAGGTATGTCTTTTCAGAAAACCTTGCACAAAATCAGGACCCAGCATGTTATTTTTAAATTTTTTAATGAATCACTCCTACGTTATCCAAGTAAATTTTTACTAAAGGTACCTTAAGTAGGTACATGGTGTCCATAGAATAACCCCAGTCAGCACACTTGTTTATATTTTAAATAATATATTCTTATGCTTCGAGTCCTAATGCCGTCTAATCAAAATGTGCCTTGATCGTGTGTCGAATATGTCGGTATAGAACCGTGTTATGTTTATTCAATTTTTCGGATATTTGCCTGAGGCTTACATTTGTGGTGGTTGCTAATTCATACATGGCATGATGATAGATCAAATCTATCAAAAGAAAAAAAAATACTAGCTCAGTCCGTAGTAAATAATCTAACTTCATTCAATTTAATTCATTTAGTTTATACTTATAATTTATTTTACACGAAATGAATCATATTTTCGACCATCTGACACACAACGCCATCTAGTTTCAAACTAAGCAGAGCTTGTATTTGAAACTAGATGGCGTTGTGATTAGATTCCCGGGTCAGACTAAATCCGACTCAGGAATCGAACCGGATATGGCAGTACAGCCGTCGCATACGCTACCACTGCACATCCGAGGTAGTCTTAACAAAATCAGTTTTGACAACCCCACACTCGTTTCTATTTACTGTTTGACCCTTTCAGTGATCCACCCCGTTTTTAATGCAATTTTATAAGCTACAATTGCGTGTTAATTTGATATTTAATGATACTAATAATACGAACTTAATTATAACAAATTGTTACTAATACACTAACACTCTGGACTGCATCACTATGGTCTGAAATAAATAATTATTATTATTATTACAAATTTATCTAACTAGAGAAATAATTACAACTTACCTTTTATATATCCGGATAACTAAGTAAATTATTTACACGTGGTAATAGCTCAATATGCAAAATGCACTAAACAACAAATAAAGTTTTTAGAGCGACTAAACACTTCGTACCACAACGTTCAACGTACCTACGCTTTAAAATATGTTTTGATGTTTATTTAAAATTCGGTAAATGTTGCCCTTGGTTTGCCATTTTTAAAATAATTCCGGATTATTTTTCTATTAACCCTGCGAATTCTAATCACCCTATTTTACGGTACTTATGACGTAATGACATCTCGGCAAACCGTGCCACCGCCCATACCACTGGTGGTAAGATGGTTGATGCCTGGATGGTTATGCCATTTATGATATATTCATCAAACTTATTCACAATCACGAATTTTCTTTAAATTATTATTAGTAAAACCCTAACGATTTTAAGCAACGTCATTCATGAGAACATGAACCATGTCATAAATCAACAACAACAATATATTTTTTACGGTTGTGACAGTTGTTCATGTTGATGTAAGGAATGCAATAAATAATATTTTCACACATCTCACACACGGCCGTCTGATCCCAAACTAGGCAGAGCCTGTGCTATGGTGGCTAGCCTACTGATAAACATACTTATATATTTCTGAGTTCATACATATTATAGACAAAGTACACCCAGACACAGAACAAATGACCGTGCTCATACTCATCACACAATTATTTATGCTGAGTGGGAATCGAACCCACGATCTCTGGCGTAGCAGTCAGGGTCACTAACCACTAGACCAACGAGCCAGTCCAATTGCAATATTGCAGGCCAATTTATTAAATAGTATTTTATTCTTACCATCATCACCGCTGGCGACAGTGCCCAGGATACTCTCATAAATACACTAGGATACTCGCCGACGGCAAAGTATACTTCTTCGCAAAATGTGGTCTGTCCATAAATATACGTGATAATAGTGGTCACCATCGCAGCGATCAATGCACGCGGTTTCGACGCGGGCCATATCATGAGAAACTCCATCAGATACAGACCACCCTGAATTCATTAAAAAATTACCATGTAAAATAATTTTGCAGTTACGCACAACCGATTCAAATAGATGTTACATGGAGGAAACGTGCCAAAAAACTCGAAAGCTAAGCAATAATTTTGAAAATGTTTCAATAGACAAAACGGACCAAACCAATCTACTGCAATAGTTTGTCTACCAGGTGTGTACAAGGGTACAATTTTGAGTTTTTCGGCATTCGAGATTAAGGGTCTTCAACAAAGACTGGGCTGCCCTATTCTACCATTTTTACCTTCTCTTCCATTACTTCTTCTTACCATTTAAGTAAGCTGGTAATTTTTAAATCCTACACGAGTAGTCTAGAAATTACAAATTGATTAAATCGACAACGAGGTACCTATATGCAGTGGAAATTCTGCTGAAATCTAAATTACTAAGCTTGCAAACACGTTTTCTGATTCTATAGTGATCATTTTTTAAGTTCTGTCAGATATACCTACTTTATTCCTAATACATTTTAAAAGTTATATAACCAGGCAATTAATGCCCGCGTTACAGCACTAGCCGGGAACTACAGTGGCACTACAGGGAGCCGTACCTCAGTCGAACTACGATATAAACGATTAAAGCTTAGAAAATATTTTCTCAAGATCGCCAGACCTGGGTGCACAGAGTAATGACGCCAATGAAACAAAATAGAATACAAATGGCGACAAGAAATGCCCACGTGATTTTCTTGATAGAGTGCCCAGTGAACGTTGACATCACGGTTTGAACCAGCAAAGCCTGTAATCAATCGTACCATGATTAGAGGATAAATGGAATAATAGCCCACAATAACATTGATATGATCTCATTCTTAATAGTTAGGCAATTAAGTCGAATTATCACTGGATAATTGATGTACTTTGGTAGCTATATTCGTTTTTCATTGATTTGCTTAGTAAAATTATGAGTACCTAAGTAATATTAAGGTGTGCACAGTCGTGCAGGACTACATTAAAATATTTTCATATTCTTTGCTGATTAATTTTAAATCAATTTTTAAGCAGTTTTTTCTTACACTGCTAGTTTGTCTATTTACCTGGATTTACCATTAGAATACCTTTAGAATCATCAAATAGTTTAGTAGGTATCTTATCTTAATGACATCAGTTAACAGAAGAACCCATAGGAACTAGGGATAGTGCCGAATCGTTAAAAATACATATTTTTCTGCGGATACCGATATGTAAACAGATGTTAGTACTGGATCCACCTACTACTGTTTTATAGATATTTAAATAGCACCTTATGACTGTTAACAATATTAATAGTACTTATAATAAATTCAATATTAAAAAAAATAGGGTCAATATCCGCCAAAAACAACGGAAAAGGACACGGATCGTTTTTCTCTCTCGGATGTTTGGGGGTAAGGTTACTGATGTCCGGCACGTCACACGTAGGAATTCTAAGCATTTGCAAAAGGTTTTTGCATAATTTGAAACAATAATGGCTAAGTGTGTTTCAGTTACCAAGAATCATAATAAAAATATGTTATATTCAAATAATACATACCGCAGTGGTTAATGACAGTAAAAATAGCGTAAAAAATATAAGAGCAGACCAAAATTGGCTGCCTGGTATTCGTGCTACTAAGTCTGCCCACAGAATGACAGCTGACGACGCTCCTGCAACAATGTAGTGGATATGTTGGTGATAAATATAGGTATTTAATGTTAAAATCAAACAAAACAAAAACAACGATATGTATACATTTCTGAAAATAGTTTCAGTAATTAAATTTAATTTGCCTGCCTTTAATTTTAAATTGCCTGGTTCCACTAGCACAGAAGGATACCGTCTGTAGGATTGTTTTTAATAAAGTTTTTTTTGTGTGCGTTACCCCAGCAAAATAATGTCGAAAATGGTCATTTAAACTTTATAGATAATTAGTTGCTCCCCTTCTGTAATTGTTAGGCACATTTTTAAATTTGTTTCACTTAAACTTTTTTAGTTATTTCAAAAAAACATTTCCTGCTGGGGTAACGTTTGAAACGTTACCGCAGCCAGACATTTTCTTTTTTAATTGTAATATTGAAATAAATTTTAGCTAGAGAATTAGTTATCTGGACTAGGTAAATGTTACAACTTATTTGGTATTTGTATTTTCTTCGGCTGCGAAGTTATTCGAAATCCTGCTGGAGTAACGTTTGTGGGTTTGCTGGATCTCTGAAACGGGTAAGCGGATTGTAACCATCTTTTGTACATAACTTCTTAAGGATTAGTTTTAATTTGTTCGACAATAAAATCACAAAAATAATGGACCGTTTAAAAATTATTTAGGTAAGTATGAAAACACTTCAATACGTCCTAACACTTTAAATAAGACCTCTAAAGACTTACTTCAAACGTTATTCTATTGCTTGAAACTACCTTCAAATGTATACGAATTTTCGTAAGAATACTAAAAGTGACTAAAAAGTTATGATGAAATGTAGCTCTCCACGTTCACGATCACAATGTGTGCGGCCTTTTTTGGCCACCGATAAACCTGTGTGTGGATATATAAACTGAATGTTATGCTAATAATTAGTTGTTTAGTTCAGTTGTCTACCTGTAGAATTTCAGCGTCGTACATATAATATTTTACGAGATAATTAAATAAAAGTCATTAGAAGGTGCAAGTCCGTGGTAATCCGACCATGTTTAGGTGGTTACAAAAAAGCGATCACCCAGTACATTGTGCTGGCTTTTGAAATATGTAGGATATTATTTGCAAGTTTACTACGGATATGTACATAAGTGTTACAAAAAACTACATGTTTTTTAAATAATTTTTATTTAGGATTGTTTATTGCATAATTAGTAATCAGCCGGGAGATTAGGTATTGTTTTGAATGCTTTTGTTTTCTCGTAATGTTTAGGTGAATTGTTTATACTTGTTCATAGAATTGGTACCTGCGTAGTATTTGTTAATTGAAGTTTAATTTTAGGGTAGGTATAGGTAATTTAAGTTTTGAAGAGTGTGACGTATGCGTTGTAAATAGGTATTTTGTGAATAGATGGGGATTTTTTCACAAAAAATATTTGATATTAATATTTGATCACAAAATCGCGGTGAGTTAAATTATAATAAAATAAATTATTTATGTAAAATTAGTAATAAGTGATATACCTACCTACAAGTTATGATCGTTTTTAATTTGTTCACCCTGAACGAAATTTCAATATTAGCATTAGCAATTAATATCCTAAGACAAGAATTGACAATTACTTAAATTGAATCGAATTAGCATTAATGCCCATTATTAGTAATTAGGTACACACATATTGAAGAACTCTCAAGAATACGATAAATATTTGCAAAAATAGAAATCGGAAGCGCACACGTACTTTACAACACGTATATTATCTGACCAAGGGTCAAGTTTAGTGGACTAGATGCAAATTGCAAACAATGAAGTATCCCTTCGCCCCTCCCCTCCCGCGTTCTAGCAAAGGATGTATTATCAGCGATTCTTGATTGACAAATATTATGTGACCAATAATTTTATCTATAAAAATGTATCACTTTCACTCGATAAATTAAATTACCGTTATTATATCAAAATATCATTCAACAACTGTTCGTTTTTAACAGAAATCAACAGTCACGGGCTCAACGCTTAACGGTAGGTACATAGGTATAGATAATTCTCGGTTCTCGGTATACACCACAGAACAATATTACCTACTCTTACGAGATATACGACTGTTGGGCGATGCAATGTTGATGCATTCTAATTTACAACTGTATTCTTCTACTATTCGGTCTATTTTAACTTATTGTAGATGACTTGTTGCTTTAAATATTTTGATGTATTCAAGTCTAAGCTCTATATACCTCAAAATAAAATACAATTACTTCAGTGTTATTTCTTTACAAAAAAAATCAAAGAAATGAAACGATTTCTTAATGGTTTAAATTTTCGATTTATTGCAGTCAGGTGAATCGTTCATACATGTATCTACATATTTATAATTTTAGCGGGCCAGTGCAGATTTTCTGTTAATTGTAGCTCCGGTAGTTAAACTTTTTTTTAAAGAAATTTTAAGTAAAGAAACTAGTGCTTAAGATCAATTAGGAAAAAAGAACAAAATAAACAATAGGTAATAATAATGAATAAATATTGAATGTATTTAACACTGTACGCAACTGTACCGAAATCGTAAGGTGTATTACACTAAACATTTTAAAAGACAGCGCAATGTACTGGGTGATCGCTTTTTTGTAACCACCTAAACATGGTCGGGTTACCACGGACTTGCACCTTCTAATGACTTTTATTTAACTATCTCGTAAATTATTATATGTACGATGCCGAAATTTTACAGGTAGACAACTGAACTAAACAACTAATTGTTGGCATAACATTCAGTTTATATATCCACACACAGGTTTATCGGTGGCCAAAAAAGGCCGCACACATTGTGATCGTGAACGTGGAGAGCTACATTTCATCATAACTTTTTAGTCACTTACAGTATTCTTACGAAAATTCGTATACATTTGAAGGTAGTTACAAGCAATAGAATAACGTTTGAAGTAAGTCTTTAGAGGTCTTATTCAAAGTGTTAGGACGTATTGAAGTGTTTTCATACTTACCTAAATAATTTTTAAACAGTCCATTATTTTTGTTATTTTACTGTCGAACAAATTAAAACTAATCCTTAAGAAGTTATGTACAAAAGATGGTTACAATCCGCTTACCCGTTTCAGAGATCCAGCAAACCCACAAACGTTACTCCAGCAGGATCTCGAATAACTTCGCAGCCGAAGAAAATACAAATACCAAATAAATTCTAACATTTACCTAGTCCAGATAACTAATTATTTAGCTAAAATTTATTTCAATATTACAATTAAAAAAGAAAATGTCTGGCTGCGGTAACGTTTCAAACGTTACCCCAGCAGGAAATGTTTTTTTGAAATAACTAAAAAAGTTTAAGTGAAACAAATTTAAAAATGTGCCTAACAATTACAGAAGGAGAGCAACTAATTATCTATAAAGTTTAAATGACCATTTTCGACATTATTTTGCTGGGGTAACGCACACGTTTTTTTTAATGGAAAAATTGGCAGAACGAGCAGACGGGTCACCCGATGGAAAGTGACCACACCCGCCAGCCTTTTAGGTTTTTTAGTATTTTTAGTTAACAGCTATGATCGATAGATCGCTTTTTTTTGTCTAATATGTGTTTCAAAATCAGAAAGCATTGTTACGGCCTTTCATTTAACTTGCCTTAGTAGGGTTGATAAAATTTTACTCTAGTTCCGAGTGACTGATTTAACCTCGATTTGGAACACGTAACTTCGCCGATACTAGATATGTTGGTATACTCACCAATATATTAAACCATGTTACTGAATTCAATATGTCGCTTTTATTGTAAAGAAAAAACATATTTTAGATGGTAATTTAAAAAGCAAGCTACCAAACGTGCTTTTAAAACGTTAACCGCAACATGCTCCTTGAAAACAAATTCCTACCTATACTGACTTGGTTTATTATCTTATCTATAATTCTTAAATTTAAAATTAATGTCATTAATACTTTGGTATTAACCATTTCTAAATTGCAATTGGTAGGTCAAGTAATACATATTAATCATGTAATTCTCGATTTAATAACAAATACCTAACTAATTAATAACTTCAAGAATTTATTTGTTTACCAGGTCTGATATTGGTAGGAGCATCATAGTCTTTGCTCAAAGCACCATGAGTTGCTCCGAGAATGAGCGCGGTTATCATACAACTTGACTTGGCGACCACAAACGAGAGCATCGCCGTGGTCCCCAACTTGTGCTGAGACTTGGGACAATACGAGCCCAGCATCACGAGTGATCCCTGGCTTACTGTGAGTTCTATTAGACTGTATTCCATTGCTTCACGCCACATCTGGGAATAAATAACATTTAGGAGTAATTGCTTTTGTTACTTCCAGTGTTTTATTAATTGTTAGGGAACATTATTTGCAAAATTGACTTTATAATAAGCAGTTATAGTAATAGTTTATAGATAGTAGAGTAGAATCAGATCTGCACAATTCTGCCCAACAGACAACCTCAATTGTTATAATTTTACCGAAAGTACATCAACTTTGCTAAAAGAGGTGTGCAGACTTTTTTCGCCGAAGTGGATATTTTTATCACTTAAACATACAACTTTTGTTACCTACCTACATTATGATTTTCTAGATCGTAATGAATCATAAGTCATGAGTTTAGTTTTATTTCTACTTCACAAGAGTAAATATTTGTTTATTATACTCGTACATACTTGTGCCCCTTCAAACATGACGCTCCAATCGCACTCTTTAAACATGCGGCCAGATCCTTGTAGTTGTGAAACGCCGACTGCACAGCACACCAATACAAAAAATGCCAACACATCTTTGAACAACACCAGCTGGGAAATGAGACACTATTTTAAAACTTATCAAGTTATAGATAGTTCAACTCAGTTGTGCGCGCGGCCCTATGTGTTCGTGGGCTTGTAAATATACAACTTTCATTCGTGTGGCAGTGACGCGGCAGTCGGACGACGACTGCCACACGAATGAAAGTTGTATATTTACAAGCCCATGCACACATAGGGCCGCGCGCACAACTGAGTTGAACTATCTATACAAGGAGTAGTGATCTACAACGATTTACTTGATTGAAGTAGGTTAGTAGGTAGTAGTAGTAAGTAGTAGGTGAGTAGATTTCATGATGTGAGCTCTGTTGTTTTTTAATATAGGATATATATCCATAATGATTGATAATATTTACCTTGGAGTAGCTGTATATCCGTTTAATGACGATAAAGTATATAAGAAACCAGCAGATGATGTAGTACGTGGTAAGCTCCCACGTCACCTTCCCCAGGCCACTGAACAGGGCATCGCGTTTCAGGTCCAACACATAATTGCTGTAACATTAATAACTTCGAAATAAGAGTAATGATAACGTAGCGTTTAGCTTTACTAACGAAGTGATCTGTCCTTTACATAACATGGTTTCGTTGTACTCTCCAATCACAAGACAAGCATACGCCTACGCGCTACTGCAGCCTCGTATTTCTATTTCATCAGAGATTTGCGATATCTCTGCTAGGGTAAGCCCATTATCCCTCCCTAATCTAATTTTGTGGTCAAGCATTGGCTTTGGGCAGGTGGCCAGGCAAAACTTCCTTAGCAAAATAATGCACTGTGCCGACCAAAACAAAATTTAGAAAGGCAGGCAAATTATGACTATTCTTCTTCCAAAGGTAATTCTTCTATATTCGATTAAAAGTATCTAGGTCAATTTGTTTTAAGTTCGTTAAACATACATAAAAATACAGATACTAACAAGAAGAAACTCTGTGAAGGTGTTTCACTTCCAGGCGGTAATGGCCTATGTCTGGCGGCACACGGAGGCTTAGCTGCAGCAGCACAATGAAGCCACGGCAGGAAAACGTGAAACGAGTGCACTAGCAAGGCAAGGAACCACGCCCCGGCTGCGCTCGCGACTAGAGCGCTGAACAGGCAGACCGCAAGCATCGCGAAACCTACACCTTAAGTTTAATTATATGAATAATCATAATTGATTACTAAAAAAAATTGATGACATAAACTGATGACAAAAATACTATGTGGTTTCTCATAAGAGAAACCACACAGTAGGTATTTTAGTCATCAAGTTTCAAGATATAGACACAAACATTTTCGTAATTTCATTCTGTTAAACCAAGTGTTTAAACTTCTACTTATACTTCAAATACAAAAGGAAAAAAGTAGGTAAGTAGTAGAAAAAAAAACATGCATAAAATAAAATACTAATTTAAAAAATTATATCTTACCTCTAGCCATTGGCGCTAAATCCCAACAGTTTATAACGCCCTTCTTAGTAACGACCCCCAAAGCCAACTCCAGGTAGAACAATGGATAGGCAACAATAATACTGAATATCTGATAGAGGAATAAGAAGGGAAGTAGCCTGCGGAAGTCATGCACGTAAGGGTGCCACCACATTTGGAAGATGCCGATGCATGATGAGAGGACCAGTTGCCGATAACTTATGTTGTTGGTCCAACGGTCAAATAACTGTTAAAGTAAGAAAGTCGGTCAATAATAACGGTCAAGTAATCAGTACTAGATAACCAAACCGAGTTAGACTCAATCTTGTTTGTACCTAGTACTTAAATGTTATTAAACCATTCACCATTCTATTGTTTAGCGACGGAAATATAAACATCCACCCGCAGTTTTGACCATTTCAATTTTTGGTAATGCAACGAACAGTCTTTCTAAACTTCAATTTGCATTGAAATAATTCAAACCGTTTACACTAAACATACTTGCAGACACTCACTAACTCGTGCTTTTATAAGAGAAGAAATAAAAAAAAAGTTATTTTTCTTGGGCTAACAGAATTTAGGTCCATTAAATTCGATTCCAACCTTTAATGAAAAAGCTGAATGCAAATGTGTGTCTTGCTTCGTTTAAAAACTACTCTTATAATAATCTAACTTATGTAAGTTTACAAAAAAAAGATACCAAAGGGCCTTCAGTGGATTCTGAATCGGCTGTGTCAGAAATTGTTTTTGTTCTAGTACTCTGAAATCAAAGTTATAAATAATATTATGTACATTAAAACTCCAATTACTATCCAAACATAATTTGCTTGAGGATTCATAAAAGACCTTGGTACATCTATGTGCTTACCGTGGTATCCGTCATTATTAAAAGTTAACATCAAAAGAAATAACAATTATCTAAAATATTTCTGACGCTAGATAAAAGTGCTTAATTGAGAACTTGGTACTCTCTGTCAAATGTATCTGTAGCTTATCTCACTTCTATGATGTCTCTTATCATTCGCCTGATTCAAGGAGGTGGTCTAAAGGTTTACCTAGTCTTTGATCAGCTACAAAAGAGTTTCTAGCTAATGATGAGATAATCTCTTGAGATTCACTCTTAATGTATAAATGTAATAATTAATAATCAAGAAATGTGAATCTATTCTTAATTCCATCTTCTTACGAGTAAGTCTTGAGATCTATGGCTAATACATTAATAGCGATGACAACGTAGGTACCAGCCGTACAACCCGTACCAGTTTTTGTTGTATTGAATTTTTCTACGTATTGTCTTTCAGTTTCCTTCATATTCACCTCTAAATAGTTCGAATGTGTTATTTAGATTTTGCGAATAATTGCAATTAGTTAGGATAGCACATATTTAACTATAGGTTAAATACGTATTATCCTAAGTTATTATTATGTAATAATGAAAAAAAAAAAATTAAACTATCTTATTATGCACTTTTGGACTATATGACATGAATATATCCAATGGACTCAATGCCCAAGTCATTCTCCTTCCAGTCGACCTCTGGGTGGTTTTGGATGGTTAGTGTGCTGCAATGACTATGTGTGCTGACCCCCTGTATGGGGCCTCTGTTAAAGGCTTTACTACGGTTAATCGAATTGGAAAATACCTACACTCATTTCAACCTTTACCGAAGAGATAAAAAAATAAACGTGTATGTGACGGATAGAATACGGATTGTCACTACCATCTCTTGTCCCGTGGGTGTGGTAAGTTACAAAACAACGCAGGACAACAACACTGCAAAAAGAAGGAAAACTTGTAACAAAACCTATTTCAACCCGTCTGGCCAGCGTGGTATAGTAGGCCAAAAACTTCTCTCTAAGGAGAGGCGCATGTCCAGCAGTGGACTATTAAAGGCTGTTGATGACGATGTGACACACATGAGGCACACATCTCTGTTAGTATCCAGGTCTATTTCTAGAGTGTGCTTCTATCTCCTCCATTTCAAAAGCAACAAATAGGTTATTCTAGCAATTAGCGCGGCTTTCAGTATGCATAATAAGGGTAACATAAATAAAAAGCGAATATTGTTAATATAACAAGTTCTATATTTTATAACTTCATAATATCTAGCTTTACACAGTGGATTCGTGGCAGCTAAATAAATTAACTTATCGCACCAAATTATACTATTATTTGGTTTACAAACGCTATAATAAAACCACGAATATTCAACGAGGATGACAAAATTAGCACACAATCCTAAGTTAAAGTCTTTACACAGTTGCAAATTAACAAACTCATTTTTATATTCAATTCTACTTTTAGTAATTGTAGTTGATTTTCAACGTGGACAAAAGCACTCGAAAAGACCTAGTTGAACTAGGTTTCAGACATTTAAGAATAGTTCAGGAAGATACACATTGCTCATAAATAAGTAGGTATATATCGCATCATCAGAAAAAAAATGAAATTTGAGAAAAATAAGGGGGTTCCTTCTATTTATTTTTTTTATGTTAGAGGCGGCAGACGAGCAGACGGGTCACCTGATGGAAAGTGACTATCGCCGCCCATGAACGTCTGCAACTCAGGTGTCACAAACGCGTTGCCGCCTCTATGAGTGCGATTTAAGCCAATATGCCCCAATTGACGTTTTTAGAAATTTTCAATTATGTAGACCTAAATAAAAGTATGAATTCTTTAAGGTAGACAGTAAAATTATCTTTATTTACTAGTAAAATGTAATTTAATGAAGTTAACAACTAACCACACGTGCTTACAACTTAAGAACAAGCTTAATTTAGTTTATTCTATTCTACATGTCTGTTTTACAAAACGGCGAATCAACTAAAATTTTAATGTGCGTTGTATAGATGTACAGTAAACATACGAACGTAACTTAATAAGACTCCTAACTTTCATCATAAAGATGCGGCTTTCGCATGATAGTACGTACCAGTGAAATCAAGTAGTGGTTAATCAACAAAAATATGAGCACGGTGATAATGATGCCTATAGCAAAGTGGTTTCAGTGGAGGCCTTATCAAGTCACAGACTCGAACTCGGTGATTAGTGTGATGTGTGTGCTTTGTTTATTTAAAGTTACAACAATTTTAATGTGTAATAGGTATTTTGCAATAGTCTGTATGAAAAAGTGTGTACAATATTTCTATTAAACGTACTTAACATTTAAAATGGAACTGACCCCACACTCAAACCTTACTTTAGAAGCTGGTATTTACTTTTCGTAATTCTTAGTGTACATTAGAAAGGTCAAAATTTATTTATTAGCAAACTTGTTTTTACAACCCAAATCGGTGCTTTGAGTTTTGAAATCTTATTTACCTACCGTTTAAATCTAGGTTTAGATACTTACAATAGATAGATACTTAGATAGAATTGGTAAGCCACCTAAGAACTCAGTATATTTTTACTATCAATATAGAAAATACAATCATGCGAAACAGTTTACCCCATTAAGAGACGGTATTCTTGAGAGACATATCGGCATATTATTACGTAAATTTCAGTCAACAAGGGGTTTAGGGGAAGATTTAGAACCATTGTTGTTGCTGCAGGTGTGTAGCCGGGAACGAACGTTTTGTCGGCACTAAGACCAACCGAATACGTACTGAATACTGAAACTAGACTGGCCCCTACGACCTATAGCAAGCTAGACAGATGATATTGATGACTACAATAAGTTCAGCGAACACTGGTGTACGCATTGCATTATATTGAGGAAGTTGTTAAGTCTACTAATCAACAGATGTGAGTCCCATTTAACACAAACTACAAAACACACACATCACATCAAATATAACACTAGGAACACTCACTGAGGTGAAAACATTGCTCATATCCATTTTTCTGGCACTAAATTAATAGTGAAAACAATACACTACTTGAAATCACAATCATAGTGCAGGGAAACCAAAGGAAGACTCGAAGTTAGCGCATGAAGGACTGAAATGACTAAAGTATAGTAGTAATTACGCTCACTTTTTCCATCTCGCACAGCAAGATGTAACACAGATATAGCTCACGCTTAGATTTTGCGTGATAAACGATGAAGTACTAAAACCTAATTTGTTTAGATATTAATAAATAAATATTGTCAAGATTTATTTGCGTCAATTTCAAGAAACATTATTTCGTATTTTACATATTCCAACATACCATTATTATGTATAAGTTTAGGTTTCAAAATCATATCTACCTACATGTCTTAAATATTTTAGTTTTCATAATATAATTTACACTTTGTGTAAGCGCATATGTATCTGGACCTTTTTTCATCAGACTCAATTACTCTATATAGCCAAATCCATGGTAAACTTTGTATCCCAAACAAAACTATATCAGAGCTAAATATATCTGTCCAGTAATTAGTTATTTTAAACCCCATTCACATATATATATCTGATAAAGGTATATGCACCACTTTAACCATTATTTTTCTACAAAAACCAATTACTTTCGTTTTTCACATATTTATGACTATGGCTTTCAAGAGTATGAAGTTCAGCTTTAATTAGTAATAATATATCTGTAATTTCATACTTTAGGGATGTGGATACTTTGATTTTGGTCTTTCTTTCCAAAGTCTTGTTTGAAAACCAGTCCAGAATTCAGTTAGAACTGAGTTTATAAACTTTTAAACCATCCTTCCATAATTTATAAGTAGGTTTCCGGGAATTTGTTAATGTCTGAGTCAGTCTGCCTGTGACCACGGCCAGTACATCCTGGTCGAAACTATTTTTTTAAATGTTTCTACTAGTTATTACATTGCCTCAAATAAAGATAACACATCCGAAATATAAACCACCAACCTAAAAAATATATTGAAAGCACTATTATTTTCAGGCGACTTAAATGCGACCATTTTGGCGTGCTTATTCTGTGACGTCAGATTCCACGATTCCTATGTCAACAACGAAGAGTTTGGTTCACAAAGTTACTTAAAGTTAGAAAAGTGACTAATAAAATCAATCAATGGAAAAGCACACAGACAGGCCTATTATATTATGAATATTGTCTCGTTCTTATAAGGAAAAATAACAACTAAACTGCACCTAACACAGTATATTTCCCTATGCCGAAAGATGCAGGTATAAAGAAAAAAATAGAAGACAAAGTATCATGTTTGAGCTATTTATGCTGTTGTGAAGGTCATTAAAAAGTGATAAAATACATATAAGAATCATTTTACTTAGTTACCTGTCCATAATTGTTTTGCTTACAAACCTCGACGAAAACATAACCTAGTTTACTAATAGTTCGTAAACATGTAAACATAATCTGAATTTCTTTTACATAGGTATTTATTCATAAGTATTATTACCTATGAATGAAAACATGTAACTTATTAGAATACAAATAATGACCAAAAACAATATAAACAGCTTGTTTATATTGTTTTTGGTGGCAACAAAACGTGACGTCGAGTAAATTGACGTCACGTTTTGTTCCACCGATAGCGTTGCGTATTGGAAATTTGCGAGGGAATTAAAAAAAAACACTATTAAAGATTCAGTTTCACTATTACATTATAATAAATTTCAAAAATAATTTTATAGGTATGTCTTTTAGCAATAAAGATTACAAATAAAAATAATTTTGTCCCTTTTGGAGCCACGTGCATATTCCCTATTGAAAAGTGCAAATAATGCCAAGCGGAGCGCATCGATTCCCGTAAACATACTTGTATAAAAGTAAATTTGTTTTAAATTAATTACCCGGGTAAGATTACTGTTACACATGTACGTCAGTGCAGGGTTAGTAGGCCCTAAAAGTGTTTACAGGGCAAAGTACAAAACACCTACATGCAACTGGCGAGAATGTACGAAAGGTCTGATGAACGTAGAAGAGGCCTACTGTGTGTCAGAATAGTGATAAATGGCGCCCAATCTCATTAGTGAGTATTTTAAATATTCTATAGATATACGTGTAGTAATAAATTGAATTGGAGAGGCCTATGCCAGGCAGGAGGCAGTGGACTGCGACAGATTGTTGATGATGTACATACATATATGTACGTTTTTATTATTTAAGCTATATAGCAGTTTACCTGGCGCTAGCAGAATTAATAACTTTTCTATATCATTCATACCTATATGACATCGCACAACGATTTTCTTAACAAGATGGTTTGGTTACATTTAATATGTGTCTTTGAACTGCTTAAAATTTAAGCTAGGCGCGATAATACTTGTATAACGAGTAAAATTTAAACTTAATTTCGGTTTATGGATATAACAAATAAAAAGTTCAGTGTATGTTTTGACAAAAACTGGATGGAGGAGTAAAGTTGCAAAATATAATACATTTCATTTCACTCTGAAGTATGTAGAAAGAACAAAGTTTAATAGGACTGTCCTCACCGAATTGAAGTATACGAAGCCTTTAGTCATTGCACGGATATGCGTGGGAGACGTTTTGCTTGTAGAGGCGAGCACTTAAGTCTTTTATTTACGAGTTTTAGCACTGGCAACACTTTTGCACTATATTTTTTTAACTCGATACTGCACAATGTCGCGATTAACGTGACACAAATCGCCTGAGTGTCGGCGCAACGTAACTAATCTATCACTATGACGTCACTATCTCGTCGAGCGTGTTCTTCGTTGGGATGGTGTTGGCGGCGTGAGCGGCGGGAGCTTGTCCGCCTCGCGTGCCTTCACAGCGAGAACAGGTCCCCGGCCGATGGCAGCGGCGCCAGCCCGCCCGTCACGTCGGGCAGCCGCGACACGTCCGGCAGGTTCTCTATGTGCGACTTCACCTCCGCCTTCACTGCGTAAATCTTTTGGAGTTTTATGTTGTATTCCTGTAATCGTCGCGAATCATTATTGAGCATCTTGAAGATGATTGAAGAAATTTGAGGGGTGTCATTGGGACTTTTTTTTTTCCGTGCGGAAATTCCCTCGGATACCACCATATCGGTGGCATGTCGGACTCGAACCGACTAAAACCGCACGCCGTCTGGGGTACTAATAGCCGGGGAGCCAGGTATACCCTAGAAAGGAAGTCCCTGGTGCCCCGACATACCTCGGGCCATCTACAGACGAGTAGACGACCCACCCGTGTGGGAACCCCATGTTCCCTCTGCTCCCTGGAAGCAAGCGCGCTTCGCAACGCGCTCACCGCCACCCCGGCCTGCTTCTGCTAGGGTGACAGATGGCCTCACCTGTCACCCCCAGGCCTGCGGTTATGGAGGACGGAGGTCGTTCTGCGACCTCCGGCGCCTGAGTCGCATGCGATACCAGGCCCGTACCCGGGCCTGGCGGTGTCGTTGGGACTAAAATTATATACACTGCTACACAGTAATAAGTATATTTCATAATTAATTGATTATGAGTTTCTTATAGAATCATGTACTGAACGTAATAATTCTTCTTGATATGACAAGAATATCAAAAAGGGCCTAAGTCCCTACATGTTTTACTGATCTAAAAAAATACAATTATTGTATTTCCAGATGCCTAATGGCACGGTACTATTATAATACAGTAGTGTAACTCGGCCGCATGATAGAAATAAATGCCTACAGCCGCGCGGTACGTAAACATGCGTTAGGGCTGCCCGTCCGATTTAATTTTTTTTTTTTTTTTCTGCATTGGAGGAGTTCAAGTTTTAATTTTCTTTTTCTTGGAGTGTTGCTAGAGAGACTTGTTGAGGTTTGAGCAAAGATTTCATTTGTTGCATTTTCAGTCTGTGTACTATTTTCATTTCTTACCAACGGAGCAGTTTGGGTTTGTTTATCTTCTTTTAGAGATACTCCTGGATCAGTACTAGCTAAGCTTGGCAGCATCAACAATGGTAGGGCATTCTTTTTTTAAAGTTTTCTATTTGATGAATGTAATACATCCTCCAAATTAAAATGTTTTAACACTTTGTGAAAATTTTGAAAACTATCTAATGACACACAGACGGTAAAAATTTTTTTCTAGTATTATTCATACACACAGATAATAAACAAATATTATTAAAAATAAAATACCACGTCTTTACTTTGAATTATGCAAAGTAACAAAACACACATGCACCGAAGTTTTAACACCACGGTAGGTACCTACCGTATCATGATTCATTCAGAACCGCATATAACTACCTATTTCACTCGTCTCAATAACTTTCCGTTACTCTATTCGCTTTATTTATTAATCCAAACACCTTTTTTTTCGTAAGATAAAAGGAAATACTTATCCATTAAAAAGACACACATTATGTACCTACCTACTAGTAAGTAAAATTATTTTATAGTCTTACCTTTCAGAGTTTCCAGGTAATTTAAAAAAACTTATGTCTGGATGCGTTATTGACGAATTCATACAACCAAAAACAGCACAATATTTCCTACTCGTCATATTAACTGATTTTTAGAGAAAAAATCGCGCGGTTATTGTTAAAAAAAAACAACACACCGTCCGTTCGACACTGCGGTACAGCCGTGACTGTCTGCGCCCCGAGCGCACCCCGAGATCGAGGCGCGTAGGTATAGCTCGTGTTTCGTCCGTTTGTATGAAGTTGGAGTACTGTATTATAATTGTACCGTGCTAATGGTGACTGTGATAACATATGCATGCTTACCTCTAACCTAGTCTCTGCTTGTTTAGCCAGGTCCCGTTGCGACTGTGCAAAGTCGCGCAACATAGCTGCCACTTTCCGTCGCTTCTCCAGCTCCTCACTTAGCCTCAGATTGTATTCAGCGAGAAGTTCCACCGCGGAGTTTACCACGGCACTCAGACTTAGTGCAGATTCCTTATCTACAACATAATGTTTTTAGTTTATTCATTTCATAAACTATCACTATAGTTTATGAATATAACGTGCAAATTAATGTTCTATATAATTCAGCATCACAGTTCTGTGTTCAGTGTCTGCCTGACAACGGGCGAATTGGAACAGCGACGCAGATTGAACAAGTTGTACTAGTGGACATAGACGTCACACTAGGTCGTTGCGATAATAATAATAAGTTTCATAATTAATTTACGCACGTCATACGTTAGGTATGTTTGAATTTTCAGTGTTTTCCTATCACATCCTGGTAAAAATATTACTGCCAGTGTCTAGGGAATATTACAGACGACTAAAAGCCACACAACAATATCTGTTACTAAGTACAGAATATCGGGTGCGGACCACATGACGCATGTATATAAATATCCGACTAGACTGCCGGAGTCTAGTCGGATATTTATATACATGTTCTATCTTCCTTCTCTGATAAGTGTTTTTATTGTATGTAGCGATAGACTAGACATTATAATCTAGACTAGAATAATACTCAAGATCCTTTAGAATCTTATGGTCTAAACATAAATTCGAAATATGTGTATTTGATTCAATTACAAACCAAATTATAAATTTTATGATTTTACATTAAAAACTGTAAATAGAATTGGGCAAATCCTAGTAAGTAGATTTTTATTATAAGATTTAGTCAATCGGATTGGTTTTACTATAGATATTTATAGAAGTGTTTGCAATGACACCTGAAATGAGAACATTGATGCAAGCCGGTTGATGCACATGCGTTGATGATTTGAACTGCGTGAAAGAAGTATTTTGGAGACGAGAATTCTTCAAATAGCAAGGATTGTGTTAAGTGAACAAAAGCCCACATTAAAACGAGAGAAATGAAACATACGTTAGAATTTTCAAGGACTGATTTATTTCACTTTTATATTTTTGCAGATCGAAGAATAATCTTCGCAAATATACTACAAATTTAATTACAAAGTTGATGCGATAATATGGTGTCATTTTACCTTCTAACTTAGATAATAATTGGACTTCGGAAACTTCAGGTGGTAAGGAGGCAATGCGCTCCCTCACGGCTTCGTCGCTTGAAGCACTTGATTCTAATTCTAAAAGTGCCTGTAAAAGAAAAAAGTCTTCTTAATAAGTCTTATATTCTATTCTTCTTGGCATAAGCCAATAATGGTAATATCTTTATAATATTTATGAAGAAGATAATCATAGATACGGCATTTAACTATTTTACTGCTTGGTATTCAGACTCTATTGTAATTTTAAAATTCAGAAAAACCGTGTAACAGTTTAATAGTTCCTTACACTGTTAGCTATCACAAGACTGGGAAACTGATGTACAAAATTATCAAGGACAATATTTTTGATGTAAGATAAGAAATAAAATGGAAAGAATATTAAAGTCCTCCGTTCTATTTATTTCATTTTTAAAATTGATTAACACTGATTTCCATTCGGGGTAGGCAGAGATGATAGAACGCTATTTGTCACGATTTAGACACATACTTCCACATTCATCAGACCTTTCACACACGCGCTCGACGGGTACTCTGCCGATGCGGGCAGTCCCCGAAATACTAACATTTGGTTCGTATTTCGGGGATTGTCCGCATCGGCTGGCTTATGAACTCTTTTAGTCATCCGCTCTTCGCTCATCCCCAACTTTCTCTCTCATGAGGTGTTTAATGACACGTTTGAATTTTCACAGCCGAATGCAGGGCACTATTAACTGAGTTTTGGCAATTTTTTTTATCTTTATTTACGGAGCTTAGCCACAATGACAACTATGTCGCTCCATCATAGCTATTTTTCGTTTTAAACTTAAAAAAATTAAATATTGAAAATAAAAAGTATATATAGCCTTAGCTGTATATGTCAAAGGACTGGCCAGGATGCTGTTTCATCTTCCAATGTCCATCAATGTACGACTAAGCAGGCGTTCTTTAAGTTTGTTGGTTTGGAACAAATTCCATCAAAATTTGTTCTACGTCCTCTACCACATCACAGATCTCACAAATTGGCGTAGAAGTTTTGGCTTCTTCTCTCAATATCTTTGTCATGCTTTCGATCGATTGTAAATAAATTTCATAGATAAATAAATTCGTTCACTTTTTCCCCTCCTTCATTTCCAATCTTTACCTCACAAGCAGTCATCTTACCTCACGTTCGTTTTACTTGCATTTTCTTACGTGCAAGCAATTTTCATCTCAAGCTGATCATTCATAAATATTATAATGTCCTACTCATGCAGTACAATGTGCTCTTAAACCAACAGAAATCTTGAGACGTCGCAAGACGAGTAGGCCTGAAAGTGAGCGGCGACGGCGAGCCTCAACCCTGCCCTTCTCGTCACAACTACACAAATAATAAACTGATTGGGCTCAGAAACCGTTGAGGCCTGTGTTTATTTGTCGTCATCATTGAATGATGTGACTAGAGAATGCATGTAAATTAGTCTGTCTGCAATCACTTTATTATCAGGATCATAATAATTTACAATACATACCTTTATTAGTTCTTCTGGCTCTGGTGGATCTCCAGGTGGTGTTTTGGGACTAAGTGTAGTGTGTGTTTCAATATGTCCATCAACTTCCTTGGTCTCACTGCGACGACGCTCCTGTTTGGCCCTAACCTCTACTTTTGGTTTTTTCTCTGCTAACTCTTTAGCGTCTGTTTCTCCAGACTTTCGCTTGTTGGCCTTTATGGGTATTGCGTCAGCAGGGTCAACTACAAAATTTATAAAATTATAGTCCTAGTATATTTTATTCATATAATTTAAAATATAATAAATTTGTAAATAACTGTATGAAATAGAACAAATGAAAAAAGACAAGTAACATTAGGTAGCTTATGATAGATAGGACATTGCATGTTCATCTGTATATTTATTTATTTATTTATTTATTAATAAGTACTACCACATCATACATATTATACTTATAACTAGTTTTGACAATACGTGCCATTATACCTGATATGTATGACAATTAAGGTGTACATAGCATTTACTGTAATGTAGTAGTGTAAAAAGTAGTAAACTAATTACAATCAAACGAGAAAAAAAAACTAACTAAAGAAGAGTATACTTAATAATAATAATAAACTGTTTGAATTAATACTACTCTAAATCTATTTTATATCTTATTCACAAAACTGTATACAAAACTCTTTAAGAAAAAATGTTTTGTAGTCTATACATGTCATCTTGGAGTTTGGTTTCAAGACTTACAAAGAATCAAGGTTTTCAAACTTAATCTCCTTAAGACAAAATTTTTCAAAATTATAAAAAACTACTATTATTGTTTATCAACACAGTTTCTGTTAAGTATTTTCCTTGGGGTATTTTCCTTAAAACTGTTATATCATAAAGTCAAATTCTAGTAAAAATTGAAACACATTTGCAGTAAAATTATAAGAAAAAAAGTAATGTTTACTTTATGTAAAATAAATAAACATGTATTTATATATAAATTGTTGTACTACAATAGTGGTAATATTAAAAATGTCTTGTATGGGCACTGACACTTACCAGCCTCTTTGTATTCTTGAATTTTCTGAGCATCATATACACCTCTTTCTTGCCATATAGTCAATATTCTATGTAGAGAATGTTTAGTCTTTGCATTAATACCAGTCTTTGCCATATGTTTGAAGGACTCCACAAGTACCTTACCAAATTCCTGACCATATTCTGGACCCTTCTTTTTACTATTCTGTATGACATCATTTGCTAGGTACATAAAAGTGAGTTGTTTGCTGTCTTTTGCTGTAAAGAACAATAAAAAATATACAAGTTTAAAGATTATAGGTCCATATTTGAAAATTTTGAAAGTAACTAATTAATACCTTACAACTTACTGCTCCCAATTCACATATACAAATAAAAGATGGAAAGACAATTTATAATTATATTTATTTAAATGAATGGGCTCATGAGGCTGGCAGTCAACCTTTGACCACAACCTGGGAATCCAAGGGTATAGTACTTAATACCTATTGTGAATGCAGAAATTGCCATAAACATTATGTATTATAGATTGCAATTGTTTAAAAGTTAATAATACAAATTTAATTCTACAATTAAATACATGTTTATTTCCACAACTAAATTAATAAATTGAGAATAAAGTCATAAAACTGCTACCAATTTTATCATTTCAATAATAACCTAACACATCTCGCACAAGGTCATGTGGGGCCTAGGGTGGCAATGCGACCTTCAACCTTTGGCTTAGCACTCAGGATCAAGCACTAGACCAACAGGCCTGTTGTTGGTGATAAGTTGTAGAATTTTGTTTAAGAATTCTGAATATTGATAAGATAATAGAATCTACTAAAATCTTAATAGGCACATTTACATATTAAAGATGTCTATTAAGATCACTAATGGAAACTGCCATTAGGATAATTTAAATTACAAAACTCAGTTTTTGTTTATTAGTTGAGAGAATATATTATGAGAATTATATCTTTTAATTATATTTTTCTAGTACTACTTTTAATATAAAATAATCAGGTTACAATAAAATAGTATTAAAACTCAACCTTAATACGATAGTAAAGAATTTTCTAATTCAAACTTTAAACAAATTTGAAAAAATACTAGATCTTTCTATTGCCGCAAAACATCAAGCGGGACAACGTAATAGAAGAGGCCTCGATTAAACATTACAAATTTGTTTTTCCTATCATTGATTTGCTTATTAAACGCAACAACCCATGAGAAAATAAAAATATATTGTAGGTTACCTTTTAATAGCTCCTTAAACCAAGTTTTGACGACAATAGCGTGATGTTTTCTGTGATGTATAAGCCACAAGGATAAAGTTTGGATACTTTGTTGGCTCGAGTTCAGTTCTTGAAGCTTTCGAACTAACGCATTTTCAGTAAAACCAGCCATGGTTATGGAAAAACTAAAGAATTAGACGCGAAAGGTGCCACAGACCACAACAAGACATTCAATGACGTTAGGATCACTTAACGCCATGTTTAAAAATTACGTTCCGTTTTAGTAGAAAATAGTACAACGAGTTCATGGTTTTAAATATTTTACTTTTAAATGCCGAAAATAATATTTTTTAAGGATTTTAATAGTTAGATTGTTTTAGTAATGTATTTTAGAAATTATTATTATTATTATTCTATAATGCACTAGCAGATCACAGATCTGATGCGTACATATCACTGCACTTGTGTTCATTTTGTTGTTTTTAAATGTTTGTCTAGTCTGTTTTTAAAAATGTTCACTGATCCAGCACTAATTACACTTTCCGGTAAACTATTCCAAATGGTCACCACGCGATTTGGTAGAAAGTGTCTTCTAGGGTTGCTAACAGACGGAGACCTGGTGAGCTTCAATGGGTGTCCTCTCAATCGGGTATTAGAATTCATAGTGTAGAGGTTTCCGATGTCTTTCACATTGTAGTGTCCAGTTAATATTTTATATGTTTCAATCAGATCTCCCCGTTGCCTGCGTTGCTCCAGTGTAGTTAAGTCTAGTTCAATAAGGCGTTCCTCATATGACATGTTTTTTAATGATATAACCATTTTTGTAGCCCTCCGTTGTACTTTTTCGAGCATTTCTATGTCTTTCTTGAAGTATGGATTCCATATTTGAAATGTGTACTCCAAGAGCGGGCGGATGTATGTTTTGTAGATCTTTATAAACAAGTCTTTTGTTATGATGTTAAATGCTTTTCTAACCACATACAGCATGGAATTAGCCCTCTTCACTATATTTGTGATATGTACATCCCACTTGAGGTTATGTGTGATGGTTACCCCTAGATCTCTTTGGGAACTTACAGGTTTCAGTTCCACCGAACCAATCTTGTATTTCAACTTCGGGTTGTTGTGGCCCATATGTAAAACGGTACACTTCGTTGCATTTAATGGGATGAGCCAGTCCTGTGTCCACTGTACAATACGATCCAAGTCCTGTTGTATAACGCTATGACTGATGAGGGGGTTTCCCAATATTTTGGTATCGTCAGCAAACACAGATAAGTCTGATCTAATAGCACTTCTGAGGTCAGTAATGAAGATACCAAACAAGACAGGTCCGATCACAGATCCCTGAGGCACTCCGCTGTGTACATTGTGAGCTTCTGATAGTGTGTCCCCCAATCTTACTCTGAATTGTCTATTAGTTAAGAAGTCAGATATCCATTGAAGAAGCTGTCCACGTATTCCGATGTGCTCGAGCTTTGCTGTCAATCTTTTAATGGGAACCCTATCGAAAGCCTTTTCATAGTCCAGGTAAATAGTATCAGTTGGTTGATTGTTATTCCAGTTGCACGTCCACTTGTCAAGGCAAGTAAGAAGATTTGTGACAGTGGATCTCTTAGGAACAAACCCATGTTGTTCTTCCATAATAACATTCTCCATACTGATAAATTGCCTTATTTCTGCTGCTATTATTTTTTCCATAGTTTTACAAGCTATACTTGTAAGGCTGATTGGACGGTAGTTGGCTGCAAGGTATTTGTCACCCTTTTTATATATTGGCGTCACATGAGCTTCCTTCCACTCCTGCGGTAGTTTTCCTGTTTTAAGAGACACATTCATAATATGTGACAGTTGGTGAGAAAACACATTGCTACATTGCTTTAATACTATTGAAGGCAGAGAATCAGGACCCATTGATGTTGTATCGCTGAATGTTTTGAGGGTTTTGCTAACAATATCTGGGGAAATTGTGATATTTTCAATAGATTTTTCAATGCGTGGCATCTTAATACATGGCATTGATGAGTTTGGTGGTTCCGCAGTATACGACTTTACAAATTGCTTAGCGAACAGGTTGGCCACTGTCTTCTGGTCATTGATTAAATTCTTACTATCGTCCTTCAATGAGGGGGGTACTGACACCGCTGAAGAAAGCTGTTGGCGCACATACGAATAAAAGGCTTTAGGCCCACTATTTACGATTCCTCTTTCGAATTCCATTTTTAACTTCTTAACCAATGTTACAATTTTATTGTTTAGTCTGCGGTAATCTTTATATGACTCATCAGTGCCTTTAAATGAGTATATTTTCCACAATCGCTTTTTATTGTCTATCATTTCTAACACAGCCTTATTGATCCATGGTTTATTTATGTTTCGATTCGAGCGTCTGCTTGTTAAAGGAACATGAGTGTTAATAGCGTCATGGGTAATGCTTGTGAAATTATTCCAAGCTTGATCAACATCAGAGCAGTTTAAATCCATAATGTTGTTTTTTATTAGTGTTTCACACATTTCTCCATAATTAGTCTTGAAGAAGTTGTGTCTTCGTGAGCGTTTGAGGTGCTTTGTAGACAGTTGGTTTTGAATTTGTATTGTGGCTACAAGCACAAGATGATCACTCTTTCCTATGTTTGGATGGTGTTCTACTTTTGTACACAAATTAATCTCATTACAAAGGATCAGATCCAACAAGGATTCTTCATCATTTCGCTTTCTTGTTATACTGGACACCAATTGATCCAAGTTGCTGTTTGTATACATATTTAAAAATTCACTATGCAGTTTGTTGTAATGGTCGACATCTACATCACACAATGGCCACTTCAAGTCAGGGAGATTAAAATCTCCCATTATAAACAAGGGTGTTTTCCCTTCAGATGCATGTTTGATAGTGCTGAACAGCAACCGGTCAGTATCCTCAAGTTTGTAATTTGTTGGTCTATATACACCCGCCACCAGGACTTCGAAACATCCATATTTTAAATTCAGCCAAAGAGCCTCAACAGCCGCGTGTCGGTTATATGTCGGATGAAGAGTTACCTGTATAGGCAAGCCACAAAGTTTGCACGAAACATAAATAGCCACTCCCCCCCATCCGGTTCCGTTCAATCTGTCATGTCTAAAAAGCATATAACCCTTAATATCGACTAAGCTATTGGGGATAGTTGGTTTAAGGTGTGTTTCTGTTATAATTATACATGTAGGTTTCAATTTATTTATCTCAATAATAAGCCAATCTCTTTTAGCCATTAACGATGCCAAGTTGGTGTAGAAGAATGTAAACTCAACAAAGGGATTGTTGGGTGTTATTGGTTTTTTGTGGTCACAATAGTTGGACTACCGCTTACATACTTGATAGTTAAGTCCGTTTCACCAGCCTCAATTCGACGATTCAGATTCTCACGTAGGTTTCTCAAATAATCGCGTTGGTACGGTGTCAGATCGTTTTTCGCCACAACATTAGAGGGTAATTTTTTATTATTTTTTAATACATTTATTGCCGATTTTTTATTAGAGAAGATCACCTTAAGTGGTCGGGGTGAAGTGCCTTGTCTGCGCTTACCCAGACGTATGACAGCAATGGGCGTTTCAGATTTCGAATTGTTAGACAGCACCTGCTGTGCTTGGGTTTTATCATGATTAATACATACCTCTTTGTCCCGGGTATCATCTCCAGTCTTAAGCTGGCACTCACCCACACCAAACAGAATAACATTAGCACTGCGCCTCTTCCTTTCCGACAATTCGGAAAGAATTGTTTCTATGTCACCGCCTCGGTTTGGTTTGGACTTGAGAGTGTCTACTTGAATTTTAAGTTCGGAAACCATATTCCTTAATGCCGGTAGTTGACGTACTCCCAATTCACCACACCATACACAAATATTTTAAAGTAGGAGACTGAAGCACCACCACTCTTAACTCCGTCGCCAGCAACCCACTACACTTCACGCATATTTGCCTTTCGCAACCATAACACTTAATTTTCGGATTCTTATCATCAATCTTAGGTACAGTTTTTTCACATTTCAAACATACAGCCATTTTCGTTAACAAGTATTCAACGGTATTTTAAGGCTACACTCGAAATGTGGTTCTTCGCGAAAGGTATTGCGAGATAACACTTTCACTATTGTTTTGATCCTAGATTCTCGTAATAACACCAAATTCTGCGCAGTACAACTAAGTAAACTAAAATTTAATAACAATTTTCGTAAGAAGTTGAAAAAACACAAGTGCACTCTTTAAGCGAGGGTAGACGAAAAAAAGAGCACAGAAAAAAAAGGGCCTTGTTTACCAAACGTTACAAATTGTAATTATATTTTACAAACCGAAACTTGTAGATTACAAGTTTCGGTTTAATAATGAAAACAACTTAGAAATTACTATGGTGAAAAACTGTCAAAATTGTATTTCTGGTTATTAAATATTTTCTTTATTACACATTTGTAAGAAAAACTATTTTATTGAACACATAATATTAAATACAAATTTTGCATATTTTGTAAATTGTAGAACAATTCCGACAAGACAAGTGGACTTGACTTGTGTCAGCACTTCACAATTTTGTACCAAAATTTAATGGGTATGTGAAGAAAAATTGTTATATCATATACTATATATATATATAGTTATATATAGTTGTAATAAATTTAAATTCTTTTTTATTACGAATCTTAAATTTTTACTTAACACCTCTTTTGAAAAAACTCACCTTTATGTAAATTGTAACTTTTAATTATAATACATAATTAAAAGTATAATCTTAATAAATATACTAAAGTGAAAATTATAATGAATATTAATTATAATAATAATAGTTTACTAGTTTGTACTAATTAAAAATTTTAATAATTTTAATAATAATAATTTCGAAATTTACAGGTGCCTATATGTCACCGTTTATTAAACAGCATTTATAATGGTAATATTTGTAATGTTTTTACTTTTAGAATTCTTACATAATTGTAAGGTTTATTAAATAGCACTTGTCATAGCACTTTCCAAATTATTGTCACATATTTATAAAATTGTCGAATTGTACCGTTTATTAAACAGGGCCTAGATTGCTTTATAAAGGCTGTTGACTCCGGATAATCTTCCATACTTAGAATATTTATTACACCTTTTATATCTCAAATTTCACTGCATAATAAAATGATATTGAGTGAA